GGAAATTATTAACGCAAGTAAACGAGAAAGAAAGACAGCACAGTGGAGACCTTGCAACTTCCGGCCCACTTGCACCTACAAGTCTCTAGTAGGAGATGTACATAAGAAAAAGCAGGTCACTTTTGCCGTCTTTCTCCCTGTCGTCTTGCTTCACAAAGTCGACAATAATTGAGGGGAAGCTTGAATCGGCCATGCCCGAGTCGAACTAGGATCGGCCCACCAAGCCCTTAAACACTTCACTCGCCAAGTTCCTAAGACTTGCCTATGTAATCCAGAAGAGTACTTAGAGTGGACTAAGATGTTGTAGGATCTGACGGCAATGGGAGGATCTCGATCAAATGAAATCATGAACGGTGCCGGAGTTGGATGAGCCCATAAACGAGATGAACACTAAAAATTGGAGAACAATAAGGTGATCAGAGTTAGAATAAGTATCTAATTCAGACAATAGGTGACTCGTAAAGCTATCTGGCTTCCCAGATGAAATAAAAGGGATTAAATGGTTAGTTTCAGGGGAGAAAGATGGAGAATTCTCGAGTTTTGCTGTTATCATGGCTAGCTCCGCGACGATCTCATCATCAACCTATGTGCGTCTCCTCCACTGATTTTTCCCCTCTAAGTTTCATATTTACGTATGATTCCTTTTTCTCTCTCTCCCTACATCTATCTATGCAATTTTCATGCATTATTCTACTTTCTCTGTACGCTTCCTCTCTTTGTCTCTCCCTTCCTAGCGTTTGGCCGAGACCTAATCCTCAAACAATTCAATTTGGCTTTTATGCATTATTCATCTCCCTCTCCCTCTCTCCCACACACACACACAAAGGCACGCAGACCTTTAACGCTCAATGCGCTCCACGGTTTGTGGACCATCTTATCGTCAACATTTGGCTCCCCAGTTAATACCTACAACACGAAGGTATTGTCTATATAATCTTCATCTATCTCTCTCTATCTTCCCGTCAGTCTTGAAGGTGGACTTGTTCTAGTGTTTGGGGACGGCTTCATGTGCAACATATGGCTCTCTTTCCCACTGAACCTACTTCCGATGGAGATTTAGGATGCGAACATACTACACTTCTTCTCTGCGTACGCCCCATGTATCTGTCTCACACCTGTACATATATCTACACTACAACCTATGATCCACAAACTGAGTTTTACATTTACGTACGAGGCTGCAGACCAAGTAGTCAGAAGAAGAGTAAAAAGATTATGAGTAGAGAGAGAATAGAAGAAGAAAACGTGAAGAGAGAGGAGGAGAGGAACAGAATGGTGGAAGGATCCGTATATGAAGACAGAAATATGAAGATTAAGTCTAGAGGAAAATACAGGGACATTGGAATATAGAAACATAGGCAAATGACAGAGGGAGAAGAGAGAGACGGGGGATGCTTTCACTACCCGAGGGACATCATCCAAAACGAGGGGCTCGTTCCTCCATCGACGAAATCCCCTGGAGAGGCGACACCAATACGTCCGAATCAACCCTAAAATAAAGAAAATAAGAGAATTGGCACATCCGGGGACAGACGTCACTTCAACGCTTCCTTCGCGGATATTTCAAGGAACATATCCCCATCGTCATCAACATCGTTTCAGGCATCTCTATCATCCTCTCATCCCGGTTATACGGGTGTCCACAGAACGGCCACTTGACGAGCTGCCGCCGCCGCTGACTCGCCGTCGTCCTTCCTCTTCACCTCCGGCGAGCTTCCGTGCAAGTTCGCCGGCCGGGGACCGCGTCAAACCTGAAATTAAATCCCTCGCCGGTGGCAAGGTAGCTGTGGGCGGTCATCGGGCGCCGGCGCCCGTGTGAACGAGTGTGAACTTTGGCCATTGAATTCTCTCCGTTGAATGACAGGAAGTTACACATCATCCGGCGATACCGTCCACGGATTATTTAATGATGGCAAAGATAGATATTATTGATGATTGAGAAAAAGAAAAACCTATCTTCCGGATAAATATTAAATAGGGTATCTCCGGCGTGCCACTGAAATTCAGTAATACCCCCCAATTACTTTAACGATCTCTTTGACGTTGGACAGCTGAACGGGAAATAAAAAACAGAAAAGAAGGATATAGAAACAGAGGATCTATGTCGTCTTTCTCGGCTGGTCTTTCCATTTTGTCCGCTAAATGTTAAGCTAAGAAAAAAAAATCAAATACAAGGACGACAAAGTCTATATCAGGGAAACTAGCAATGACAAATATACTTTTCCTCAATGTGTGACATCATCTCATGCGACAGTCTCTTCTGTGTCTCCCTCTCTGCCTCTAAACTAAAATAAAGTTCAGAAAAAATAAATCAAATACAAGCTCGACTCAGTCTTTAACCGAAAAGGTCCGAAGTTTTCCTTGACGTGAGATGCCAGCTTCTCCCTCTCCCTCGCCCCTCGCTCTCTCTCTCTCTCTCTCTCTCTCTCTCTCTCTCTCTCAGTTCGCCTTACTTTTAGCAAGGTACATGACGAGAGAATCAAACCAGAGCAAAAAATTTACGAGAGCATAACCCAGAGTCAGCTTATGGGTTTCTTATTGGGGTTGAGCGACATGAAAATCGTGAAATAGGTTTTCAAGCTCGAGCCAAGTTTGGCAAGATCTAGAGCCAACTTGTAGAGATCTCTAATTATCTTCACAATTGAGTGGCTTTTTCAAACTTTTAGTATTCATCGACTGTTTGATTGTTTGATATTGAGAGGAAAACAGGGGGACTAGGGTCTCCTATTTTTTAAATCTAGAGCCAAGTTGTGCCAAGTTCAGCAAGAACTAGAGCTGACTTCTAGATCTCTCTAATTTTCATCATTAATTTGATGATTTATTATAAAAATAAAGAAATTCTAGGTAAAAATTCCATCTTTCATAAAAAATCATTGCATTTTATTACCATTTGTGTGCATGATTTCACTTGGTGGCACAAATGGCTTCTTGCAAAACGTTCGATGACTTATGTGAAGATATCCATAAACATAAATAATAACCTAAACATTGAAAATATTTTATGTATTCACTAATGGTTAGAGAGAAAGCAGTGCCAACTGAATTACATATGTTTTGTGATTTCATTCAAAGCAAGGATGCTATGAGTCTTCTCTCAAAGTGCGCCTCTCATCGTTTACAAATATTTTAATCGTGACTCTCTCTCTCTCTCTCTCTCTCTCTCTCCCTCGCACAAGTGCACTTTCTCCGTCTTTCAATCCATACAAACTCACACATGTACTTTTGGATGTATGTGCGAGAAGATGTCAAATTCTTGACACGAAACATGTACCTTATCGATTAGCTATGCCTGCATATAGACACGTAAACATGTACCTTATCGGCAGTATCATCAACCTTATCTATTACCAAATTCCTGGCACAATACTTTGACAGCATCATGAGAACAAGATATCAACATGTTTCTGACAGGAGTTTTTACTACTTCTTGTGCTTTCAGCAAATGTAGCCATGCCCATGATTCCTCTTCACAATTCCTTAAAAAGAAATTGAAAAAATCAATTGATGATTTGAAGACTGTCAAAACATTGTCAACAAATAATATTAAGACTAATATTAATGAGACTTGGATAAGCAACTTCATATTTGACAATAGTTTGAGGTCATGATTAGTAAGAACAGTGATAACTAGTAACTGAAATAATTTTGATTTTTATATAAGTAAATTATTAATAATAGTAGGGACAAAAATAGAACCAAATAATATCACCTCAATTAAAAAGGTATTGAGGTTTTTTTAGATTAACCAACGGTGTAAATATCATCTCAATTAAAAAGGAATTGGTTAAAAAAGTATTTCAAATCATAAACAAAATATTTATAGGTAGATAATTATATTTACTTTGGATCTTTACATGAATATAATACTTGACTATTACCAATTCAATTTGATAATAAAAGTATTTCTAAGCAGATTATTATATTTATTTAGGAGTTTAACCTGATTATTACCAATTCAATAATTCTATCTTTGGAAGAATGATATTATCAATTGTTGTGGTTAGGATATGGCATATATTTTGTTTATTATTTTAGTTCAACAATGGCTTTGATCGGCGGTAGAGCCACGGCCTTTGATCATAGGTCAGGAGTGGCGAGGGTTTCTTAGAGATAAAATTAGGGCACTATTTTACGCAGGTTTTCTTAGAGATAACTTTGCACATTCTTTTGATACGTCACTATAGCATAAAATAATATAATCAACCATGAAGTGATAATACCGACACATTCTTATGCAGAAATTTAGATAATATAGCTATCTTTTGCATCGATTGGTCTATTTCATGTATAACTAGCAATATTCTCGGATTCCGAACGTATGGAAAACTGCAGAGAAGAGCTGTCCGCCGCTCAATGACGTGGTGAGCGTAACGTCTCTGATCCCTACCTACCACCACAAGTTCAATCGCAACCCGTGGGAGGCCACCGTGGATTTCAAAATCGATGAACGGTCATAAAATTGCTCCTTCCTCTCTATTTCCCCCAGTTGACTCGATGCCGCGTGGGCTTTAAAACTGCTGCTAGAGCCACCTCTATTTCTCCCTGGAGCTCCAAGTTTTGGGTTTCTGAATTGTCTTGTCAGCTGTAAGGGGGACTTTTCGCTTCGGCTGCCTTCTCTGTTTCTTCTTCTTCCTTTCTCGGTGATTGGCTTTCTGGGTTGAAACCCCGGACTGCGGTCGATGCAAGAGAAGGCTGGCCTTCATTGGATAATGACGAGGAGGCAGTAGCTCAGGAGGCCCCGAGAGATGGTGAACCACAGCAGCGAACATCAGCGCCACCGCCTTTTTGTGAGCATTTATAGCTTCGATTGAGCACTTCTTTCCGGACTTGGGAAGCGCCGTGATTTCCTCAGGTACGCTGCCGAAGCTTCCGCTTTCTTCTTTCTGCTTTATGCAGACGACAACCCCGACTCTCCATAACCATCTCGTCTTTGATCTCGTTGGTTTTCCAGGGCGTTGATTTCAATTAAGCGTGACGGATATATCCATCGGATGGGAGCCATGTCCGTGGAGGCTCGCACGGGGCGAGAACACCAGCTCTACGAGGACGGGTGCCGGTTGGTGGCGGGGTAGGCCCCTCTTTCCATTTGCCCATCCCCTGATTTTCAGCTGATGGCTGTAATTCTCCCCATGATAGCCGAGTCGACGTCTGTACGTGGGAAGATCCTCTTCCCAGCCTCTTCGACCACCTATATCCTGCTTCCCCTTCCCTTCTCTGGAAGAGTAATCAAGCTGAATGGGTCCATGTTTCTAGTTCCTTATTCGTTCGGGGGAACTTATCGTTCGGTGGAGAAATCTTCTCAGGTCGATTGTCAGCGAAATCCTGCGATGGGTCTCTCCCCGTTGCACTACCCGGCGGCCTCAATCATTATCATTCGTAGGTTTTTATCTTAGGATTTAGACAAACTCAAACCTGATAGCCGGTACAGAAAGTGCTGCTGATTCGTGAAATTTCTGAAGTTTGCAGTCAGGATGTGGATTGAATTGTTGACTTTCTCCCTATTAACCATGATCTACGATCTGCAAACAGGTGTGTCCCCTACAGGCTCAAAGCAGGGGCGGATCTTTCTCAACTAACAGCGACGAGAGTCGCCAGCGTTGAAGACAATATAGAGGTTCTTATGATCTCCTCACCCAATCGCAAGGATCTCGTTTTCCCCAAGGTACTGCCCTCCGGGCAAACCCTCTCCGCCCTCAACGTTTGGTTCCAAGATTGTATCCTTTGATTGCTCGGAAGAACCCTCTCTCATGGTGAGGATACGACGGGTCTTTTCATGGTCAGGGAGGATGGGAAAAGGACGAAACGAAGCGCGAAGCTGCATATCGTGAGGCGTTGGAGGAGGCGGGGATCAAAGGAACCATTCATGTAAGCTTTCTTCTCCGAGTTTAAGGCTGTAGCAAGGGGATAGAAGTCTTAAATTTGCGTCTCGCTCTCGTCTTCTCTTCGGAACAGTTTCTATTTATAGCAGTCAACGAAGAATGGAAAAAGACTCTATTCGTACGCAATTCGGCATCTCATGGATCCGTATTCTCTGTTCTTCCTCCAGAATTAGTCTTATATGGCAGTGGTGAAATACGACTCGTTCACGCGGCTTGTTCCAGTACTACTGTCAGACCGGAATTGGAGAACCTCTCTAATGCCCCCCTATTCCCCTTCATCCCCTCTGTCGCATACTCATAGTTTTGGTGATTCTTTAGATTCTTTAGAAGACTATGATAGTCTAGATGATAAGCTATTCCAGCACAAATCTCCAGCTCCTGGAATCTAAACTAAACAGGAATTTTCGCCCATTTGTTAGAAAAAACTCATCTTTCTGTAGACATGGTCAAAATTCTTCTTGGAATTTCCATCACGGTCAACCTAGAGGGAAAAGTTGATTGTTTAGATGCTTTGACGAGCTTTCATTGTAAGATAGATCTCCAACTCTTTCTTCACGAGGTTCCCTGACCACTGAAGCAACGTCAGACTACCGACAGTTCTGCATCGAAAATGAATGATCTTTTGACTTTTTTCCCACCGAGACGAGGGGGACCCCACACCTTGTCCGTAAACGTAGTCAGATTGAACCGGAGGGAACCAGCGTTCCTAGTTTCAACAACTGGTGTCAACATTAGATATGTCGTCAGCAGTGACGGTGAATTTCCAATTGCGGTAATCTTGGAGTTGATTTCGAGAGTGTAGGTGAGGAAGAGTTAAATGGTCCCACAATGAATGAGTGTAAGAAAGAGTAAATACCTGGATGATGTGGAACAGAATGACCGGATCCTTCAGTGCCTCCATTTCCGTTCTGCACGTGTTGTTCATACTCCATTCCTCAGAGCAGTGGAATCGTGAAGAAGGTGATAACGAAAGACGGCCTACCGTGTCGAATTTACAGGAGAAACTGCTAGGAATCTGGGAGTCGAGGAGCAAGAGCAGCGAGATCAGCCGGAATCCCTTGGGGACATGCAAATGTCACTTCTTCGCCATGGAGGTGAAAGAGGAGCTCGACTCATGGCCGGAGCAGGCATATCACGAGAGGAGATGGGTAAGTATTGTGGTCACCGGCACGGCTCTCACCCTATCTACTTCTCTCTCCTTTTATCTCACTGCACCGTTCGTCCCTTTCAGCTGTCTGTGGGGGAGGCTCGGGAGCTCTGCCGGTACCCGTGGATGAGAGAGGCCCTGCAGAGATGTGTAGAGTTTCTGGAGACCCAGACCACGCCTGCATCCGAACTGTCCTCCTGCGCTAAGAAGCCGAAATTCATGGAGAACATCCTCAGCACTGGCGCAAAGCCGTCGCCCCCGAACTGCATGGACAACGTCCTTAGCAATGGCACCGTCTTGTGTAGCTCCTCTTAAACATCTGAGACGAGAATTAATCGAAGGATCCCGTGTACATGAACTCTCTCTCTCTCTCTCTCTCTCTCTGATGAGAACCGAAGAAACGGCAGAGAAGATCATTTAAAGATGTTGCCCTTCATCACTTCATGACGGGGAGGTTGTGAGGATTATTAATCATCACTCTACAAGGAGAGACTGTGAGTTCATATCATTCTGTAAGGAGAAGTCGTGAGGGTCATTGTCCATCTACATCCACCACCATCGCCAATCGCTTGCCGTCCTTCAGCCACCATCAGCTGCCGCCGTCGTCCGCCGTCCGCAAACCACCTACCGTCGTCCTCTGCCCATCGCTCGCCGTCCATCGCCTGCCGTCCATCATCGGCCTTCCACTGTCCGTCACCCTCAATCCGTCATCTGCCTTTCTTTGCTTCCTCTGCCACCATCGGCTGCTGTCGTGATCTAATGCCCGCCAACGACACCTAGGGCTCAATTTATGTCTTCGCCGCCATCTCTAGCCAGTGCCACCATCAGCAGCCCTACCGCCACGATTCATAGCCACTAGACCGCCACCGCATCATTACCGTTGTTCCACTGCCAGAACCGTCGACCGCCACCCATCTGCCCCGTCGTTCTACCCCTCTGCCCATTCCGCCGCCGCCTACTCCGCCCGTTTCAGGTTAAATCCCCACCGGTTCGTGAACCAGCGAAGCGTCATATCTAGATTGGCTTGAATTGTCTAGATTCGAACCAGACAATCTCTACGAGAATCAAAGCAAACCCACCAGTCAACAAGCATAAATCTCGAACCGCCAATCAACCCATCGCTTGTCAGTCAGCAGTCAACAGTCAATTATCAGCACTTAGTCAACAGTCAACCTTTGACCAATAATTACCATTTAGTCGACGTTCAACTCTCGGTCAATGGTCAAATCATGGGTAACTATCAACAATTGAGAGTCCAAATTCTATGTGTGATCCGTCGAATAGTCGCTCATTTAGGTGAGAAAATTGTCTCTAGAACCCTATTTTTTTTCTGGTTTGAGCAATTTGATCATTTCGTGTGTTGTCCTACAATTACCGTAGAGTGATCTGTAAATAGATCTATTTATTGGCATAACTGGTGGAGAGTCTGTGAGAATCCCATGATATCCAGCTAGCTGATATATTGTGAGTGGAGAACCCTTATCCCTGATGGTTTCTTAACCGCGTCGATTCAATTCATTTCACTTCTTGCAGGATAGCCACTCGGATTTGTTTTACTCAACTGGTTAGATTCATTGATCTAATAAAATAGTTATTCTTGGTTGTTTTTCTAGGGTTTGCTCTCTCTCTCTCTCTTTCTCTCTCTCTCTCTCTCTCTCTCTCTCTCTCTCTCTCTCTCTCTCTCTCTCTCTCTCTCTCTCTCTCTCTCTCTCTCTCTCTCTCTCTCTCTCTCTGTCTTCTCGCTCACTCAAGCTTGCTCGCTAGCTCATTTGTATGAGATCGACAGGTACTCAGCGGCCTGGTACGTATGAAAACTGAGGTGTCTGCTAACCGAAGTTCTTCACAGGAAAAGTGTTCGATCTCCTAGGAATGGGGACCTTGTTTCTCATGGCAACCCGACAGGATCCTCCAATCGCAGCCTCTGTGATGATTATCCTTAAACTTACGCTGGAAGAAGTGATGCTTACATATTGACTAACTCTTTTTTGGTGAAAACCTCAGCCCAGAGTTTGAACATTTTATACAGTGGGAGTTTCATGCATTCTGGTGTATTTACTATGACTAATTTTGGTATTTTTAAATATGTATCCTTATTATATAAATGCCCCTAGATTATTGAAGAAAAAATATTCTAAAAAGAAAATAAATGAACTAGAATAAGAAATAATAAAACATTTTTTGAATTTTGAGAGAGAATCCGATAATTAAAATATATCATTTTCATGAAATAATTATTCTCCCACAACCTCTAACTTTTTTGGACTCATTTTGGTAATACATGCAGACCAAATTGGACATTTTCAATTTGAATAATATTGGGAGCCACTTGAATTAGACTTATGGGTCCGTGTTAGATGAATGAAAAAGAGATGAAGAAGAATATGGGATGGTTTCCTATGATCTTGCTAGAAAATTACGCCAATGATCCCTAATTTAACATAAGGAACCACTCTTTTGACAAGTCATTCCATAGAAAATCTCTCTTACATAAACATAAATACGTTTTGAGTTCCACAGTTTATTCTGATATACCTATGCGGCTCCATCAAATTGAATGATTTAGAACAAGCATAATGGCCAAGAATTATGTTCCAGAAATCAGATTAGTTAATATCACAGGCTAATGACATTGTATAATCCTTATTATAACTGATTCATATTATGTGTTTTCAGGCTTTTACCTTTCAGTAACATACATTCACTTCCAATTTTCTGTAAAGGGAGTGGGAAATTTTATCAAGAAAATTTAAACATCTCAAGGAGGTGCCCCATGGTAAGTCTTGGTCCAAGTGTAGACATTGAACAAACCTGATCAATATCTCAATTTTCAAACCTAAGAAATCGTAAGCTTCATGTTTCTTTCTTTGATATTGATCAGGCTCTTTGACTTGAATTTCCATGAGACTGTGAATTATATGCAAAGAATATGGATCAGGAGTCTTAATGTGGCATAATAAACTAGTATATATTTCAGGAGTGTAAAATCTAAATAGGTCAACCACATAAAAAACATGATGAGGTGCACTATAAACTTTTGCATTAACATGATGATATGAAAATACCACTTTTTTTATTTTACTAGTGAAATTTGAGAATTAAATTATTTAACGTTTCTTAGTAGAGGTAAATTGTGTCTGCATTATTTCATGTGTTTAGATGTATGTAAGATGAATTAATGATAAAATATGTATAATTAAGGAAACATATTTGATAATTGGGCTAAATGATTCCAAAAATTAGGGTTAAATATTGGCATTTCTTCTAAAGTCTGAGATCCGTAAATAAAGTGCAGCTAGTTGTGGTCTTAGTTACTGAATTCAACAAAATCATTACAGGCGTCAGTGACATTTCTCTGGTGCAATTCGTATGAGACCAATTAATATTCAGGTGATGCTTCTTGGTTGCAGTAGCGAAATTTGTACACATATCATGAATCATTATGAACCATTTCCAAAAATGTGTATGTAGGGTTAGATCTATGTCATGTTCAATTGACATCCTAAAAGACTAACAGTTATTTATGACTGAGAATGGATAAATCTGCCTTTATTGGCAATACAGCATCATTTCGTATCTTAAGAATAACATCTCCCAAGATTAATGCGAAGTAGAACGCAAATGACTATTACGTAAAACTGGATGAATTTAAGGATAGATCGGTTGCCTCTAGGATCACATCCGTCATGATATTGCCTAAACTTTATTTATGGCGCCATAGAAGCGGAGGGACGAGTCTGTTATGGAGGACAATGAGGTTGAATGAGCTGTTGGGTTTGATGAGTGGCTAAGCACCGAAGGAGGAAGAGGAGGGGGGGGAGGGGGAGGGTTTTCTTTCTCATGGAGGTCCTAATTGTCTATCTCCGTAGTTATGTTCCTTTCTAATTCTTTTTTCTCCCTCCTTTTTATGGTTGCAATGCTCGCGTACTGTTTAATAATGTAAGTTAGATCTCTCTCTCTCTCTCTCTCTCTCTCTCTCTCTCTCTCTCTCTCTCTCTCTCTCTCTCTCTCTCGATATACATACCTAATCAGATATGTGCGTATCCATATCTGAAACTCTTATCTACACACACATCTCTTCGTTACTTCACGTTAGGATTAAATATAAATAGGAATTATGATGACGTATTACTCATTGTCCAGTGAAGCATAACATTTAGACAGGTAGACAGATATACATATATGTGTGCATGTCCGTTTGCCTGTGGGATAGAGAGAGAGACAGAGATCATCCAGACGGACACAAGATATCCTCATGCTTGGAGCTCGGGCAGACTTCACAGTCCTGTCTTCCAGAAGGATCGGGAAAAAGAATGATTAGGGTTATTCAAGCTTGATGTTTGGATGTCTTCCTTCCGTTTGAGATGAGAAGAATAGTTGATGAAGGATGATGAAATTAAGTAACCTAAATTATACAGTCATATATTATTTATGGAACAAGGCAAATAATTATTCGAATAACTAAGAAGTTATTTGAGAAACCCATTATTCAATCAACGGTGGAGTAATCTTAAACTACTTTACTTGTCAGATACAGAAGTCATTTATTAAGTTAATAACTATTTGTAACCTTCTCTATAAACCAATCCACCCACCTTCTCAGCTCTTATTTGATTTCAGCTGATAATGAAAATGCCTTTTATAGTTCTCTTGTCCCCGCATAAACAAAAACTCGGAGAAGCAACAACGTAGAGAGAGAAGAGCTGTTGTTCACCAAGCTGAGAGGTTAGTACAACAGAACAAATTTTAAAAACTTTCTTTTCATCCACTCTAGTGACATCACACCATAGTCCGGGTGTTGCACCCACTAGCTTAGTTGTATGTAACAAGGAAATATTCCCTACATTCGTTAATCATCCCCACCACATGCAAGCCAACATGATAGACGTATTGAGGAACAAGTGATAAACAGGTGGCTTGAATCTGATGCACATGGGAGGAGCGATGATTATATCCATAAATTATATTAGGCTTCATTCATTCTGATGAGAAACCCAGTTAAGAACCCATTTCTTTGGATCCCACCACCTTCAGATAGTCAATTATAGACAGTTTAGTAATATAAGCTTCAAGTCAAAACATGTAAGTATCATATAGAGCTGCTTCAAGATCCCATCGCCATGACATCATTCATTGGGAGGGGGAGGGGGAGAGAGAGAGAGAGAGAGAGTTCTAGAATAGGAGGTCGTGTGTTCCACTCATGCTTCACTGCCTATTGATTGGCATTGGAAATCAGATCATGCTATCCATATCATCATGATGATAAACGACCCACCATTACAACTAATAGTGCGCGTTCTTCAGTTGAATCCACAAACGATCTAGATAGAACCGTATATTAAACAATGTCTTGTGTGGACAATACATGGAGGAATGACACTTCCGTCATATGCCTACAGATCTAGTGACTGTTGACAGGAGGGTCAAGATTTGATTTTTATTTTTGAGCTTTAGAGATCAGCATGAGATCTACCAACCAGTACCTGACACCAGCTGCCCCACTTGACAAGACATAGGACATATACTGACGCCTTCGGTGAATTAAATATCGGTCCAAAGCATAGTGGTATTTATAAAGAACGAAGGTACATGAATTGCTAAACTGTGGAGAAGCCACATGCCAATGATTTCGGGGGGGGGGGAAGTTGTGGTTTGTCGGGTCTGTAGTCCTGCAGCTTGGTTCCATGTGAGACCCATAATTGAACCCCAACGTCGATTCAAGGCATAAAAAATAGGATTCTATTGGCCGCCGGGATTGGCATCTTCGGTTGAGATTCAAATTAGAATCTATATGTGAATAAACGGAGATGACCCTCGTTCAGTTTCTAGACTAGGGACTATCGTCGGAGCTCATGGAGAATTAGATGGGTATTCTTAATTACATTAGACGTAATTGACAGTGTTGCACCCTTTCCAACGGCCTTATATAGACCCCTCCAACTCTTCTTAGGCCTACGAGACAACAGTTCTACCTTCGTTAGCCTCTCTCTCTCTCTCTCTCTCTCTCTCTCTCTCTCTCTCTCTCTCTCTCTCAAGTTCTTTAGTCCTATGGAGTCGAACTATTGGTCATTTGCTTCTGCCTCTTCTTCTTCTCGGGCGGCGCAGGAGAAGAGGACGAAGAGAAGACCAAAGAAATCAAACACCGGACCAGCAGAGGCCCGCACCGGATGTGGAGCGAGATTCCTCGGCGTGAGGAGACGGCCGTGGGGGAGGTACTCTGCGGAAATACGGGACCCCACCACGAAGGAGCGTCACTGGCTCGGGACATTCGACACGGCCGAAGAAGCTGCCGTCGCCTACGACCGCGCCGCCCGGTCCCTCCGTGGAGCCCGCGCCCGGACCAACTTTCCTTCCTCCGACGCCCCACCAGGCTCCTCTGTCATAACCTTCCTCCCCGAGGAGGAAAACGAGAGCAACAACTCCACCTACCCTCTCAACTACAGTACCTGTAATGACCACCAAGGCACGCCCCAGGAACCAAACTTCTTCCCTGTCACGGCGGTAGGATCCTTCTCTGAGCTCCTGTGGCTCCCAGACCGGATAGGCGGCCTGCAGCAGAGCTCATGGTGTTATCCGGGGGAGTTCACCAGCGCCGATAGCAGCAGCTCCTCAGCGATCGACAGCGGCGGTAGTCTACCTTTTAACGGACCCTACCTGCACACCCCCATGTTCAGCAGCGTGTCCCCACCTTTCGAAGCCACATACCCCGCCGCCGCCTTGCCGGAGCTGGGGTTCCCCTCGTGCTTCCTCTAAGGGGGTTGTTCATGGTGCCGCTTGCTGGCTCCTGTTTGTTCTTTCCCCATGGTGGGATCCTTCGAGCTTCCCAGAAAGAGAGAAGAGATAATTTTTATCCGTTTCTAATCCAAACCAAGAGTTCATCTTTTTTCTCCCGTCTACCTTATTTTTCTTCCATCCATGGGTTCTTCCTGGTCTATCTGACAAGCGATGGGCTTAAAATAAAACCCGAAGCCCACACACCTCTCAATCTTAGCTGGACACTCTCAGTCTGATAGGAAGTAAAGAACTTCTATCTTGATCCGTTAATTCATCCGCATCCTGAATAATCAATGAATTTCATCTTTCGAAAGATGAAGATTACGAGCCATAAATAAGATTAAAGTTTTATCTTATTGGGCTGTTACGTCATTTTTATCTGATTAAGAATATATTGATGCATAGAATATTTTACAAATGTAACCCTAGACAAGAACTATCACTCCCACGCAATTTATTTCCTCTAGATGGCCTTTATTCGCAAATTCTTCGAGCAGCTGGTTCTTCAGAACCCCCAATAATGGGAGCCAACCACAGAAATACTTTTTAAATGATACCAAAGTCATAATGCCACCGCTTAGGAGAAAAACATCTCCTAGCGACTCCATGCTAGGGAAACATCAGGCCGACGATATCTCTCAAACAGTAAACAATTAATCGATGGTATGCCCAGGTTTCATATTCTGATATCTGAAACCATTTGGCCGAAAAATCTATGTACAGCGCGTTCCATTCTTCATTGCTTCACATCTACATGCCCAGAAAGGGAAAAGATTCAATACCCTATGAAGAAATCCAACGGTATCTGAGAAAATCTGGGCATCATCCCCTTATGATGCCTCTGGAGCGGTATGATCCTTTGGTTCGCTGGGGTCGGGGTGCTCCAAATATAGCTGCAGCTTCAAAGGGTTGCTGCTCATTGACTTTATTGGGGTGATGAGAGGAGGATGCTGCCACAGTTTTGTGTCGGTTGGAATCCAAAGCCGCTGCTCTTGATTGATACCGTCGGGAAGAGCACGAAAATAAGCGGTGATTTCCCAATCACAACCTGTTTGATTAGAAAATTTTGAAGACGGTCAAAAGATTCTTCCAAAGTAAATGACTTTTTTTTTTTAACAGACACCATACAAATGAGAGAGAGTACTTAAATACCTGCCGGAAGGGGCTTCGTGAGGGTTTCGGACACTGACAACTTGATCAAGAAAGCTCTCAGGGCGAACTCCAGATCTCTTTCTTCCACCTTTGACCCGTACGACTGGTTGACGGCAAGTCTAAACATGAACTTCTCCATCGGGACCAGCTCTGCATTGTAGAAGACGACGGCTACCCTGTCCACCACGCCCTGTTGAGCAAAGATCCAGATAAGCAATGCCCCAATTTCTATGCAAGGTACTTACACATAGGGCTAACAACCTTTGGAGCAGAATGAAGCCCCATCCAGCATACTTTCCAACTCCTGGGCTCATTTTCTTGAGCAGCACGATCCATTCAAACAAGCCCATTTACAAACCTCAATCTTCCCACAAGGAAAGTAGCCAGACTGGGTATGCTGGAACCTGTTCTTAGACGAGATTCAATGACTAGGGTTGTGATGAAAATTGGCTATAGGGAAGAAAATGAAGGGCAGTTCAGAGGTGCAGTCGTTTGCAGAGTGTCTCTAAGTTCGGATACCAGGGTTAGCTGCTGATCGTGTTGGCTCTCCAAATTAGGCACTGGGAAGGAAGGAGTGCTGTTTCTACAAATACCTTCGCTCTGCATCATCCTCTCCCAGGGATTGCAAAACGAGAATCAGCTTTCTCTACCAAACATATCTCAAGGTTCAAGCCGAAACAGTGGACACGCCGGACAATGGCCATGCGCGAATCTCGAAAGCATCAAATTAGTATTTTTCTAGGTGAGGCTGAAGCCTCGTCGAACTATGTTTGATAAGATATACCTGAATCATACCCATACACCCTTCATGTAATCTCCGGAAAAGCATCACAAAGTCTTCGACGTGAAGCATGTAATGCTCAGGTTTAGAGAATTAAAGTATAGCTTTACCGATTAAATGACGTCTCCAGCGTATGGAAAATGTGGGAAATAACTCTGGAAATTTGAACCACGTCGAATTTATTTCCCTAGTATAAATGAGCACGATCGATTGAGCTTGAACAATGACGAATGCTATGTTTGTGAAGAGAAGGTAGGAAATTGTCGAGTGAAGTTTTTTCCCCTTTCGTCTATAAGAGATTCATATGGGTGAAAGGCTAATGGGCATCCGCGGGGACGCTGGATCCTACCTTCTGGATGAACGGGAGGAGACCGGAGACGGCAGAGTGGATGTAACCGCTGAGCTGCGGGTGGCAAGCCCAGTGCACCACCATATTCATGTATCTCCTCCTCTGGAAGGCCCCTGAGAACGGTTGGGGAAAACCCAAGAAGGAAAAGGACCTCTTCCATCATCTGATGAACGGAAGACCGAGAGAGAGAGAGAGATGGGAGGGGATGGAGAAGTAGTACCGCGGGGATAGACGCCTTTGAGAAAGACGATAGAGGTCACAGCGACTTCCATGAACTCCACCAAAACCCTCGCCGATTCCTCTTTGCACCCAATCAAACCACAAGAAAACCCAGGTTTAGTCGAGAGGATTGACGACGGTCAAGCCGATAGAGTGGCGTGCCCCAGTTGGTCGCATACCTTGTGGGGACATGTACTTCTCCATCGCGAAGCCGCCGGCCTCAGATTCCTCCCCTCTCTCTTCCCTCTTCTCCGCTCTCCTCCCTCTCCGGCAGAGGGGACGGGCTGCGGGAGCCCAGGCGGATCCTTGAGACCTTGTCAGCGTCTGGCGCAGGCCGTAGCAGCTGGGCTTCAGAGACTAAGAAAAAGGGGTTTCGTGAGCTACTCACAAAATTATATAACATCAAAGAGGGGCCCGGAAAATAGCTCCTCGTACATTATTCCTAGGAAATACATCTCACAAAGGAACTTCGATCGCGCAAGAAGAGGCAATGGTCATTTGTTTGCCTGTTCGTGCCCTAGTTCGTTCTCAACCCAAAGACAAGCAAGCAATAACATTGTCTGATGTGAAGAAAGAGCAAAATCATAGGTAAAACCCCTGCGATATGAAGTAATAAAAGGTAAAAATCAAAGAGTAATTGTTCTAAAAACGACAGAAGTCGATAGTAAATGCCTTGTTACTACCCTTCATGTTGAATCAGTCACAATTGAGACTCTCCTGATTTTCGATAAAGATAACTATGTGATTTTAGACAATTGAAAGAATCCAACTAGTAGTATGACATCCTTTTTTTTCCCATTTATAGAAAAATAATATCCTAAATCGAATGTCAAGGATTGTTTTTATTTCTTGATTTCGATTTTACAACCTTGATACATTCAAGTAGAAAATCAAGGTTCGTTTCAGTCTCACATTATAATTGAGAGGAACATCTATGTAAATAATTCATATATACTAAGGTATGCACGTTCCCTTTTCCTAAAACTTGAGTCTACACTTAGATATTTGCGAGTTGACTTGTACTGCTTGAAATAAAAAAATAATCAAGTTTTTAATGAATATTGTTAAAATTATTCTCAACCAATTTTTCATAAAAACTATCATCACCAGAATTAACGAAAGTATTTGTAAGTAGAATTGTCCATAATTGAGTTTGAAATTGATGCAATAAAAGGGAGCCTACAGTCACAACCATCCCCGCCATTAATAGCAGCATTTTATTTAGGATCATGCAAGGTGATTGAATTGGTCAAATCAGGTGCTCTACTAAGATGATCTCTATTAGGGCCAAGAACCTAAAAGACAACCTATGGATAGACTTTATACACATCTATGTATATATACAGATATTTCTAAACTTATTTCATGTCAAAGCATAAGAAGTATTTTATGGTAAGATTCTAAATTCATTGTCAAGATGGGTCTTGCTCACATTCATCAAGAAATCTAGAGGGAGATAGAATGGACTTTTTGAGTAGGTTCTTGCCCCTACAAATCCATACCTATAGTTGACTTTTGGGTTAATTGGGTCCTGATGTTAAGACAAGAGATTAGGAGAGTAAAATAGTCCATTTGTATCATCGTAATTTTATTATTTTTATGTTTTCATGGTGATATTATGTTAAAGAATTTATTTGGGATTTGACCAAAATTTTCCTTGGGCCCGGGAAAAAACCCTCAACAAAGTATTTATTTTGAATTCAACAGAAAAAATTCCTTGGGCCCCGGAACATACATATGTACGTGTGTATTTATGCATCTATGCATGTACGTACGTATGTATATATATTAAAATATATATATCAAGTATTTCAACAACATCATTAATTTAAGATTGACCTAATTTGAGCCAATTGGTTATTAACAAAAATACAGTGCTAATAAGTTTCGCGTTGAACGGCCCATTAAGACTACCGGCTCCGGGTCCACGTCCTGAGGAGAGCCGAGGACGTTATGAACGTGAAGGGCCATGTACTCTCTTCGCCGCGCCCGCGGGCCGTTCTCGTCTCACCGCCGGGATATTCCCTGCTTCCCCCGCCGGCCTCTCCCCCGCCCTCTTCTCTTCCCCAACTCCCTCCCCTCTGCGTCTCTTCTCTCCGGCCTCCAACCCAGAGTAGTAGAAGACGAGGAGGAAAACGACGGCGAGCTCACCTTCTCCTCCGCCGGCAGGCCCACCTTCTCCTCCGCCGGCAAGCCCACCTTCTCCTCCGCCGGCGAGCCCCCCTTCTCCTCCGCCGGCAAGCCCCCTTTCTCCTCCGCCGGCAAGCCCCCCTTCTCCACCGCCGTCGTTGTGGGCGGCCCCACGGATTTCGTCTTCCTCGACGGTCTTCTGAAGGCAAAGCACAGCCTGAGCTCTCTGCGGCGAGCGCACGCGCGGCTCGCCGTGGGGGGGCTCCTGCGCCACCCCCACCTCGGCGCACAGCTCATCACCGGGTATGCCGACCTCGGCGACCTTCGCGCCGCCCGCTCCATCTTCGATGAGATCCATGGGTCCGGCTCTTTCCTCTGGAACAACATGGCCAGAGTCTTGGCCAGGGGCGGCCACTTCCCGGCGACCCTTGAGCTCTACTCCTCCATGCGCCAGGCCGGTGTCCCGGCGAACAACTACACGTATCCCTTCATCCTCAAGGCCTGCGCCTCCACGGCTGCCGTCACCACCGGCAGGTCCATCCACGGTGAGATGGAAAAGACCGGGTTCGCCACAGATGCGTATGCGGCGGCGGCTCTGCTCGACATGTATGCCAAGTGCGGAGAGATCGCCGATGGGCGCAACGTGTTCGAAGCAATGCTGATAAGAGATCTGGTCAGCTGGACGGCCATGATCACGGCCTGTGAGCAGTCGGAGGAGCCGGAGGCGGCGCTACTGCTGTTCCGGCGGATGCAGGAGGACGATGGCCTCGCTGTCGACCGGGTGGCGGCGATCAGCGTCGCCTCCGCAATCGCCCAGCTGGGGGACGCGGCCCCGGCGGCTCGGACCCTTCACGGCCACGCCCTCCGCCGTGGTTTCCTGGAGGACGTCTCCATGGGGAACGCCGTCCTCGGCATGCACGCCAAATGCGGCGACCTCGAGCTCGCCCGGCGGCTGTTTGATGGGATGGCGGAGCGCGACGACATCTCGTGGAACTCCATGCTCTCCGGCTACGCGCAGAACGGGCGCGCCGGCGAGGCCATGGCTTTGTTCGACGAGATGCTCGCCGCTGGGGAGGAACCCAACCCGGTGTCCCTCTTGGTGGCTGCCTCCGCCTGTGCCCAGCTGGGCTCCCTCCGGCTGACGAGGCGGCTCCACCGCGTCGTCCTCCTCCTCCTCGGCGACGGTGGCGGCGTGGAGGCGAGCGCGGAGCTGCAGAGCGCGATCATGGACATGTATGCCAAATGCGGGGACCTGGAGTCCGCCGCAGGCATCTTCCACCGCTGCCTCGCCGCCGGGAGGGGTGGCCACGTCAACTGCTGGAACGTGATGATCTCCGGATACGGCCTTCACGGCCACGGCGAAGAAGCTCTGCGGCTCTTCCGGCGGATGACTGGAGAAGGCCTCTCGCCAGACCACATCACCCTCACCTCGCTGCTCTCAGCCTGCAGCCATGCCGGGCTCGTCGAGGAGGGAAAGCAGATCTTCCAGGAGATGAGCGAGAAGCTGGCGATGGCGCCCATGGTGAAGCACTACGCCTGCGTAGTGGACATGCTTGGCCGCGCAGGCCGCCTGGAAGAAGCGCGGGACCTCATCGCCGGCATGCCGGCGCCGCCCAACGACGCCGTGTGGGGGGCCCTTCTGGGCGCCTGCCGGATCCACGGGAACAGGGAGCTGGCGGAGTTCGCTGCCGGCAACCTCCTCCACCTCGAACCGGACCACAGCGGCTACTATGTCCTCATGTCCAACGTCTACGCCGCCTCCACATTGTGGCCGGAGGCGGGGAAGTTGAGAGATCTCATGAGGTGCAGAGGGCTGAAGAAGCCAGCGGCGTTCAGCGTGATCGAGATCGGCGGAGAGGTGCACGGGTTCTACACCGCCGACCAGGGCCACCCCGAGCGGGCGGCGATCTACAGGAAGGCGGCGGCGCTGGCGGCTGAGATGTCGGCGGCGGGACACCAGCCGGACACGTCCTGCGTCCTCCACGACGTGGAGGAGGAGGACAAGGAGACGCTGCTGGCCCTGCACAGCGAAAAACTGGCGGTCGCCTACGGCCTGATGAGGCTGGGCGCCGCCGCCGCGGTCGCGGTCATCCGGGTCACCGTGAACCTACGGATCTGCAGGGACTGCCACAGCACCTTCAAGGCCCTCTCGATGGCGAAGGGGAGGACGATCGTCGTTCGGGACGCCAATCGGTTCCACCACTTCGCCGGCGGGGCCTGCTCCTGCAAGGATTACTGGTGAGCGGACCCTGCTGCTGCCTGTTCGATGGCATGGGCCAATGACTTCAGAAGTTGGGGTCAGAGAAGTTTCAATCTTGAGACGAAGAGAGAGAGAGAGATTAGATCAAAGAATCGAGTTTTAAATGTGGGTGTCTGCAGAGAACCGCAGCCTGGACGCCCCTCTGTTCTTCTTATTCATCCCCACGGCTTCTCGTGGGTTCGAATTCGACCGTCTTCGACAATTTAGACCCTCTTCTGAACACGAAGCTTCTTTATATTAAAGGCGAAAGAATGTCGGAAAGGGCTATACTGCTCACTGAGCGGAGGTGAAGGGCTCTTCCCGGTCTGAGCTCATCTCGGCCGCGCCGGAAGCCTCCCGGCATCCTCTGTTTTTCACGTCTTCTTCTCTTCCAAGGAATCATCATCTCTTCTGGTTGGCTCCGCTGTGCGCGGTTGAATCAGAGACCGCCGCCGATGCCGCCGGAACAACTCACCCGACTTCCCACGCCGCCTACCCGTTGTCTTGGAGAAGCCATTCGCCACCGACGCCGACGCCGGCGGCGGCGGACCGGCGTGATGTTTCTATGGAGTGGACCAGAGCTTCGGCCTTGGTGGCACCGTACGAGCGGCAGGCCACGAGCAGAGCCCGCCGCACGTCGGCGCTGAGCTGCTCGAGCAGCCGGCACACCTCCGACTCACCGGCCTGGTCCAGTATCTCCGCCACGCAGCGGTAGTGATCTGCGGTGGGCGCCGTCTCGTACTCCTCCAGCATGAGGCGGAATAGCTCGAGGGCTTCGCGGGTCATCCGGGCCCTGGCGCAGGCGGAGAGGACGCCGCGGAAGGTGATCTCGTCGGGGCGCAGGCCCGCCGCCTCCATCTCCCGGAACAGGGTGACGGCCTCTGCGCCGTGCCCGTGGATGCCGGAGCTCGTGATCATGGCGTTCCAGGTCGCCAGCGTCCTCTCCAGCATGCCGTCGAACACCCTCCGCGCCTCCACAAGGCTGCCGCACTTGCTGTACATGTCGACGAGCGCGGTGCCGACGAAGGCGCCGCCGTCGAGCCCGCCGTGGTCGCGAGCGTAGGAGTGGACCCAGCGGCCGAGCTCGATGCTGCCCAACTCGGTGCAGGCGATGAGGAGCGCTACCACGGTGAACTCGTTGGGGCGGACGTTCTCCACCTGCATCCGCCGGAACATCTCGAAGGCGTCCTCCGGACGGCCGTTCCTGGCGTAGGCGTCGACCAGCGCCGTCCAGGTGACGACGTTCCTGCGCAGCGGCATCTCCTCGAAGACGGCGCGGGCGAACTCCAGGTCCCCGCGGGCGACCAGCCCGGAGACCAGCGTGGTCCAGGAGACGACATTCCTCACGCGCATTCTAGTGAAGAGGATGTGGGCGTAGAGCCCGTCACCGCCCTCGCAGTGGAGGTAGAGGTGCATGAGGGTGTTCTGCAGGAAGATGTCCTCCCCAAGGCCGGCCTTGACAGCGCGGGCGTGGAGCTCCATGCCCTTGCGGAGCTCGCCGCAGGAGGAGCAGGCCTTGACGGCGAAGGGGAGGGTGAACTTGTCCGGGGGGACGCCGGCGGCGGCCATGCGGTTGTAGAAGAGGGAGAGGGCCTCCAGGGGGCGGCCCTCCAGGGTGAGGGCCCGGATCATGACGTTCCAGGCGAAGGGAGGGGGAGGAAAGGGGAGCTCGGAGAAGACGCTGGCGGCGGCACGGATGTGGGCGCCCCCGTGGGCGGCGTACCGGCGGAGGAGCGCCGTGAGGAGGGCCGGATTGCGGCCCAAGCCGCGACGGACGATGTGGCCGTGCGCCTGCCGGAGGTGGCGCGGGGTGTGGCAGCGGGCGGCACTCAGGAGCCGGAGGGCCCTGCGTGGGGAGGAAACCCGCCGGACGGAGGACCCCGGGGCGGGAGGAGGCGGAGAGGAGGAGGAAGGGGAAGAGGAGGAGAAGGACGAGGACGAGGACGAGGATGAGGAGTGAATTGGGGCTTGTGGGAGGAAGGGCGGCTCGGCGGCGCAGGATACACACGGCGGCGCCGCCATCGGTCGGCGGCGGGATCGGGTGGGGTGGGCGAGGCCGAGCACCTTCGTGTGGTCGGGAACTCCCGGCATCAAAGGGGCCCTGCGCTCTCTCTCTCTCCGGCTCCGACGCAATCACAGAAGCCAGCAGGGGACACTCCACTCCATCCTCACCGTCCGATCACCGCCCGAGTCCCTCATCCATGGTCGACCGCGCATATCCACCACCACGACCGGATTCATGTTTCTTGGCGATAAAAACAGACGCTTTATTATTACGAGCCAGCGAATAACACACCATCCATCTCTCTCTCTCTCTCTCTCTCTCTCTCTCTCATCACACTTTTACAATGACTATGGGTCCTCGAACATGTCATCGTATACGGTGGTAAAATCCTTCGCAGGCCTTTGATATGGAATCTTTTACTCATCAGTCTGGCATGATGTTAAGGGGGGTCGTCACCGTCATCTATATATCGCAGCACAGATTTTCTCTCCAAGAACGAATGATCAAGGATTTTCTGCGACCGTGGACACCAGAGGATTCTCCAGATCACATAATACACAATTAAATGGCATTCAATCATCGAGAAAATTAATCTTCATGCTCCCACCCTCTCCCGTACATCGGATGGATGGATCTCGAAGAACACGGGCCAAGAATTCTGCCAGACACCTTTCAGAAGATCCAATCTCCAGGGATGAGCACTGTCGATCTCGATCTCGAACCCAATTCAGACCGTCCAATCCTGATCCCTGCCTGCCGGACGGTGGCGTGGATTCCTTCACCTGATCGAAGGAAGGCGGAACATCAGCTCGTGACCGCCGAGCACTTACCAACCCAAAACTCGAACAAATGAGCGGATTAAAAATAAATAAAACATTCAGGACAAGAAGTATCTGAAAAGGTGGCCTCTAATCTGAAAAAATCCGATATCTTCCCCAGCTTCTAGATCAGACTGAACGATACGATGGCCGAGATTAGTTTCGTGATCTCTGGCGTTGCCTACTAAAAATGGAATTTTTCTGGGGGGCAGAAGGAAGAGAGAGAGCTTCGGGGCACCCGTGAAGAGCTTCACTACTCACGGCATTCATATGACGAATCGAATGCGAACAGATTCTTGGGGAAAGCAGGAAGAACTCACAGACTTTATCCGCAGAAATTCTTAAGGCCATCGCATGGGTGGTGGGTGGGTGGGTGTGTGCCCCCGGAGAGACCAAGCATCGGAACCCGTCCGTAGCTCTACACCTGAAAATGGCAAAACGAAGATGAACGCACTGAGACTCAGCGGATGAAAATGACATGAGACGCATCCGTTCCACATGATTGCTTATGAAGATAATACGTTCCTCGTGGGGCTGAGAAAATCGATGCCGATCTCGATGATTCTTATATGATCACCGACGAACCCATTCACCCGATAAAAAACACACGTCATTGCAGAAACTTATTCGGGCACTCTCCGGCACAGATGATCCTCCCTCCAGTGAGCAAACCGACCTCAATTCACACTAGAAAGATTAATTACACCACCGGGGAGAACCATCAAGTAGGACGCCGGGGCAAGGAAGATCGACACAACGAGGAAGAAGGGATTGGAGGATACAACTGGGCCCATAGAGGAGTACAGATGGTATCCTCTCTCACTTATCTACAAGGTCTGAATTATATTTCCTTGCTGGGATGATGATCCTTCTCTCTTTCCCAATCCAGAGGACAATTTTCTGAGCGACGGAATCACTAAAAGCTACAGCAAAGGCTAACCTAATCCTGCTACTGAGCCTCCACCGTCCTGGCGGACGAGTCCGAGGCCTCCGGCGGCGGCGCCGAGGAAGTCGAGTGGCCGTTTGAGTTTACCCTGTGGAGCCGGCACTTGAAGGACCCCGCGTGCGTCGCCGGGGCGCAAACGCACTTTGGCACCGCTCCGCCCTGATCGCCGTGGGCACACGAAGGCGTCGGCGGCTGAGGGTTACTAGGCCATGTCTTTTTGAACGAGTTCTTCGGGGACAGCTGGTTCTGTTGCTGGCGGTGGTGGTGGGGGTGGTGGTCTTTGTCCCCGGTACCGGAGCCAACGAAGATGGAGGCCATCTGCGTTCGACAAGCGAGCCAGATGGATTAGATATTTAATTGTGCAAATCGACTAATCTTCCTCGCATAGAATGCGACAAATACAGCACAGTACCGCCCTTCCCCTCAAAGTCTATCCACATCAAGGCTAGTTAAGCCCACCTTTTCCAACATCACAGGAAAAGCAGCGAATAAACTTTTATTAGTTAAGCCCAAATACATCACAAAATCATGCACCGAAAACCTCGGCTTCCGCACGAAGGACAGCCCCCAGCCCCCTCACCCCCTACGACCCTGCCGCTAGTCACTCTTGTTTTGTTCGGGGAAAAATAGGTTGGTAAATAAATAAACGTCTAGCCAGCGGATCATCGAGGACAGCCTTATCCAAGCACAGACGACTGCAGATCCGCGCCATAACGGGCGATTAACAACAAAAAAAAAACGAGGATCCCGCCGGCTAGACCTTAATACCATACCATATCGTATCATATCTGCAGTGAGTTAAACAAGCCTCATCTGACGAGAAATCGTCGTCGGATATCCTCGCATCACTCGAAAACGTCGACTGCTCTATCCTCTCCCGTGAAAGTATCGTGCTCCCGTGCCTCTATTCTATGTGGCGGAGGCCTTCGCCATATTCCATTTCGTTACCAAAATCACACACAGAATCAACACGAAACGCGAAAACGCCACGAGAAACTCAAATAAAAATGAACAAAAAAAACGAGTGAGGTAATTCGTAGATTTACATCGGAAAGAGTAACCACAGAGTTTTAAAAAAATTACTATTCACCTGCGGTGAAGACGGTAGCGGCTGCAACGCAGATTAATCCCGCTTTCAACTACCTCGCTCAGTGAGAGATCAGCCCAACTATTCAAATCAAAGGCTTACAACTGGAGAAAACTCGGAGATCAACGACAGCAAGAGAAAGAAGAAGACCTAGAAGAAGTAGGATTCCGATTTCCGAATCGGCAAACTACGTTCGTCGAGACGGGCCTCTCATTTTATAGGACCCCCGGCCAAGGCGGGTAGCTGCCCGCCGCTTGGAAGGTTGCCCGGTATTTTTCTGTGGGTCCCACAAACCGCCTTTTGACTTGCCGCATCACGATAAGCATACCCTCACCGACACGATCCCCACCCTTCAACGCAATCTGAGGCGGGGGGCTGCGTCAATCCAAATATCCGCGGTTTCGCCGGGCCACGTGGAGCCTCTTTATCCAGGGGGCCAGTCTCGGTTCTGCTCCAAAGATCCGTATTCATTTTCGGGCCGCCCTCGAGGAGATTTCTATCAGCTAGAATACTCTATTAAAGAAAATCGTAACGAACAATGCATCGATATTTTAATAAAATAAAAATATATTAATACGTTCGTCACCGGTTGGTTTTTCAATGAACACAAGAGCCGACCCAGAAGTTTTAATCGGTCTAAATAGATAAAATCTCCCCTCCCCGATTGGCTGCAGATTTTTCGTGGAGATAAAATTATTGCATTCTGCATTTTTATAAAATCATGGGAAATATATTTTACCGTTAAAAGCGTATATTACGGAGGATCTGACGCAATAATTTGACTATATAGACGGCGAGGCGACCCCACCATCTACAGCGAAGTCTTTCTTCTTGAAGGCGCGGGGATAAGGCAGCTGTGGTTCCAGACTCACCCAACGACCCGATACCCAATAACAGAAGAGAGATAAACAAGAGAGAGAGAGAGAGAGAGAGAGAGAGAGATGTGGGATGTGGGATGTGGGATGTGGGTTCGGTGGCTTCGTCACTAAGGAGTGCATCATCGGAGAGGTATAGATATAAAAGGTCTAGAGAGAGAGGGTGAAGAAGGGCGTCCGTACAGTCGCTGTAGATGTGATCAAGGCGGGGGTGGGCTGGCCCAGGGGAATCCTTATCCGAACGGATGAATTGGGGAAGGCATATAATCCCGTAGACTCCGCCCGTTGAAGAGGGCCTTAAGTAAGCTCAGCGTCATGAGATCGACGTATCGGAGCGAGAGAGACCCGCGCACCACCACACGACCAAGAGAGAGAAAGAGAGAGATATGAGAGAGGAGAGAGAGAGAGAGAGAGGATAATCCCTGTCTACGTGTAGTAGGAAGGCTAGGTCGGGTTCCTCCATTATCCTCTTCTACGTGTAATAATTTGCGTAGGGGGGGGAATACAAATATTTGAGATGAAGCATATTATCTCTCTATCTTACATTTATTGTGGTATTTTTATAGTTTCATGTGAGCATCACGTCGGCTTCACAGCATTCATTTCCCGGTGGCGGCGGCAGTTGGCAGGCGACCGGGTTGGCCACCCAAGGCCCACCTTGACCAGTCCACCACCCCACTGGGCTAGAGAGAGAGCGAGACAAGAGAGAGAAGAGAGGGCCCACCAGAGGGAGATGGGCTTGGCCCAGTATCTCTCTCTCTCTCTGTCGGGAATTCCCCCTGGAAGCATGAATAAAGCCCATTCCCCTGTAGCATCAATGGGCTTTATTAGGTAAAAAGTCACGAGGAAATATTATGCGATTGGAGATGTTGGCCGCTTAAAGCCAAGTAAACTTTAGAAAAGAAGCCAAGAACACCACTGATATGATCCTCGAAGCACCCAACAATAATCTAGTTTTATTATTTTTACACAGGCATCAAAACATAGATTGACTGGTTTCCATTTCATTTCCGAGGCATCAAGATAAAATCACGGAAAGCCCAGCGAAACGTATTAAGATGAATGAATTCCGTGATGCAGGGAGCTAGAGCTCATACTTGCACGATGAAGTTTCATCTGTTTTTCATGGCGCTATCATCTGCAAAGTCAAACACTTCAGGAAGTTGAACAGAAAACGACATCCAGAGCCAAGGAAATATGGAAATCTTTGATCGCAAAGGATGCGTGAAATCAAGCATGAACCCCATTTTCCGCCGGTTAAATCTGGCAGAATCACAAGCCGATCCAAATAACGAGGATCAGATCCTTGATGACAAAGACTGGAAAACTGTTCATCTGCCTTCATAAAAAATAATAATAATAATAATAAAAATAAATTCCGCTCAAATTATGCAGGATGGTGATGATGGTGATGATGGTGATGATGATGATGATGCTAATCCCAGGTCGATGTGGACAGTGTATGACTTCGGTGTGGGAGAACCAGTTAGTGTTAGAAGAGGCGATTCTTCAGCACTGTGAGTGAGGAATTTTTCCTGATTCGTTCTCAGATCAAGAAAGTGGAATGACAGCATATGCATATCCTAAGATAAATGTAGTTACAGATAATATTGTGCAGCATGCTATTATTAATTAAGATAACGCTCATAAATCATGGCAGAGGGCAATCATCAAAAAAAATAATTATTGATGGATTGTGCTACGGTATAAATAAAACAGCCAGGACTAGATGGTTGACGGGGGGAGCAAAACAGGTGGAATTCAGTAGATCCACATACAGGGAATGCTTTGAGTCATTCGGGAAAGCATGCTCGTTCCTCAGTGCTGTAGGTGAGCAGTTTTTCCTCATTAACTCTCGAATCAAGAAAGTAGGGTAACAGAAGATGCCAAACAATACAACCAAGCAATCGCGAGATTAACCAACATAACCATAGAGCATGTGACCATTAATGATCACAAAAGGTCATAAACGATGGCAGAAGGCAAGCATGAAAATAAATAATTATCAATTGGCTGAGCTAGACTGTCCAAACTGATCGGGAACTCATGGGGGAGCAAACCAGATGGAGTTTTAGCCCACAAACTGGAGACTCTTTGACATCACAGAGGGAATATGGTTCGGTTTCTATCGTTGACCATTAAGCAACACCACTAGGAACATGGAAAACGCAATGCCCGCCAGCAAAAACCTAAGCTCTCAGAAGCACAAATTCCACCGTGCAGGCATTTAAAATGCATACATTAGCTTCGAGAAGATCAAAGTTCCAAAGGGAAAAAAGTGCGCCAGATTACATCAACATACTGCAGAGCAAATATGAAGGAGTCAATCTTCATGAGACGTACCATATAGATGGTAGGAAATAAAACAGCAGATGGCTCAAGCCACTGTTTCCTAGCAGATAATTGCAGTACCGGATATGGAGATTTATATGATCTCTGCAGATACATGATTCCGGTGATTTCATCTACCTAATGAATCACTATTATGCAGCAGCACCCGCATCTTTATGCTTCTTTTTCTTCTTTTCCTTCTTCTTCTCACTTTTTTCTAGCTCTCCGTCACTACCCACAAGACCAGGGGAACAGCCATTTTCACCCTCCTTGCTCTTCTTCTTCTTCTTCTTCTTCTTCTTCTTACTTTTTTTCTCCTCATCGGACGAACTAGAGCTTCCATCAGCATCCTTACTGCTCTTGTCCTTCTTTGAGTCCTCTTCCTCAGGGACTTGTCTCTCGTGCTTGTCCTTGTCCTTCTTCTTTTTCTTCTTCTCTGTCTTTGTATCCTCAACTTTACCCTCTACAATATCATCCTTCAGCTTCTTTACCTTCAAAGAGACAGCAGACGGGCTTACATCACCTTCTTCGAGCTTTCTCTTCCGTCCTTCACCTTCCACCTCTCCCTCCCCGTCCTTCTTCTTCTTCTTTTTCTTTTTCTCCTCCTCTCCAGCAGCATCACCTTCAGCAGCCTTTCCTTCCGCCGGCTCTGCAGCATTGGCAGCTGCGATGGTGGTATCCGCTCCGGCTGGAAGAACCACATTCCTCAACCACTCTGACGGGGTCTTCTCGTTGGGTTTTCCGTGCTTGTCCAGTAAACCCTCCGTGATCAGCTTCTTCTTCATGGATGCCCGTGGACCGAGCCCCCATTTCCTCGGATACGTGTCCCGATCCATGACAACTCGCTTGATTTTCGCCACGGTCCCGTGGTCGCAGGTGGCCATCACAGCCGTCGTCATCTCTGCTATTCCCAGGGCTATAGCCTCTCCCTTGGTTGTCATTAGCACAACTTCCTCTCCGGCCTCGATGTCATCCTCAAACCTCAGCAACCCAGGAATCATCAACTTCGCGCCATAGCAGATGGCATTCACCGCAGAGTCCTTGACCACCAGGCGCTTGTAGCTAGTCAGCAGAACCTCCAATGGCATCACCACGCGGCGGAGGTAGGTCTCATCCCGGTAATTATCGAAAACCCACTGGGCATCCATGATGTCGTGCATCGTGACCATGTTGTCGCGCTCGCCGAGTATCCCCGACCTCACCCGGCGGAGCTCCTGCATATGAGCGCCGACGCCGAGCAAAAGCCCAAGGTGGACGCACAGCGTACGGACGTAGGTGCCGGCCTCGCAGGAGATCCAAAACACGACGAGGTGGCGCGCGGCGTCGTACTCCAGGAGCTTGCTCTCGTAGATGGTGCGAATGCGGAGCTGGCGCTTCACCGCCGAGATGAGCGGCGGCCTCTGGAAGACGGCACCAGTGAGCGTCTCGAGGGCGCGACCGACCTTGGCCACGTCCGGCACGTCGGCGTGGAGGCGGGCCACGCAGACGTACTCCTTCCCGGCGCCCTGCTGAGATTTGACCAGGCGCGTGGCACGGTCGATGCACACTATCAAGTTGCCGGTGACCTTGGGATCGAGGGTGCCGGAGTGGCCGGTCTTCTCGGAGCGGAGGATGCGGCGGATCCACGCGACGACCTCATGCGAGGAAGGATTCGCCGGCTTGTCAAGATTGATTACCCCGTACCGGATGTACTCCGCGAGCGGGCGCTTGAGCGGCGAGTAGCCAGCGGGGAGCGGCGTGTAGTGGCCGGTGCGAACATTCAGACGGTCGTAGTTCTTCAGCAGGAGCGGCCACTTGGAAGTGTCCAGGGATGGGGTCACTGTCTGGGGCTTGATGAGGTAGTCCGCCGCCTGATCACCCTCCCCCTCTTCTTGAACAACCGGCGCTATAGCCGCGCCGCCGTCCTCCTCCCCCTGGTGCTTCTTCTTCTTCTTCTTCGTCTTCTCCGGCAACGGGGAAGGAGCCTCGGCGGTCGACATGGCGGCGGCAACGGCGACGCGAGAGGAACGACGGAGGAGCAGAAGGCGTAGAGGAGGGAAGGCGGAAGGGTTTTATTGGGGGTTTTTGGTTGGGGGGGGGGGTGAGGAGGGATTTAGGGCTTCCCCGAATTCTAGTCCACCAGGGACAGCACAGATAGCATCCTGGCCGTCGATCTAATAAGCCTTTTCCTGTGTGATGGAAGAGGCACGAGTAATCCATAAATGCAGCAAAAATATTTTCACACGAATTAACCAGTTTAAAACATTCTATATTTAAAAATGTATATATTATGAACATTTCACATACTCCGTTTTTCGGAAAAATGCATTTTTTATACAAAAAAAATTGGAATTTTCATCTTCTCCTTGCCCGCCCCTTCTGCATGTTTGCAATGACGTTATAAGGGGCCTTACAATTCATTTATTTTGAAAAAAACCCAGTAGAATATGCAAAAGACAAAAACATGATACCCATGGTTCATACATTTTTATTTTATAATAAAAGGATGTGATACCCAGGGTTTTATTTTTTATTCATATTTAAAAATATTTTTTAATTTAAAGACCAAAACAATATCTAGGTAGGACAGTCCTATATTCGAAGTCTCACCTAGAGAAAAATAGCTGTGCTGGTGAACTAAATGGATCGTGGCGTATGAATTGTCATACGAAGAAAATCTGAATGAGAAAAATATAAGTAACCGAAATTCCATTATTTTCTTTTTTGTGATTTTAGTTTATAAATGAATAGTACTTACAGAGAAAATTTAACGAGCTGAAGCCCACATAAGAAAAGGCAAAGTGGAGCCTAGAGAGTTCGATATATGGCCCATCAGTTCGAAATGGGCGAGAGTGGCTTGAAGGCCATTAAGAAAACGAGTAGAGGCCCAACTAGAAATAGTTCCCAGGCCAAGAGGAACATGGCTCCTCTGGTCCAATAAAAATCACAGTGGGTTGAAGCCCAGTAATAAGGTGGGCCGGGGTCTCGTAGAGTGTGCATTGAATACCATAGTGAATGGACATAATGAGTCCCCAATAACAATGGGTCAACTGATACTTCTCTCATTTTATGCAATGGGAAATGATAATTATTGGAATGTCTCAGAATTGCATTTTTCTCCCATGGAAAAGGTCGAACATTTCTATGCTTACCTTATAAGTTATTTCCTCGTCTGATTATACAGAATGTTTCATCCAATAAACATCTTTCAAGGGTGTATGTGAAGCTTCATTAGACCCAGTGTCACATGCCCAGCAGGGATGCATTTTCTATCTTTGTGGGGATTTTGCAGAAACACACAAATGAAAAGTAAAAGCATCATTAACTTCACATCTAACAGGTTACAAGAGATTTGAAACTTAGAGCGTCCACTCTTCCACTCCTTTACTACATAGCCTTCTATTCATAGGGAGATAGTAAGTTAGACAAAGTGCCACATGACACTAGCAGCTTCACCTTTCATCACTTGGGTATGTGCATGGGCTCATCCCAATATGTTCTCCTCGCACGTCTTGCACATTGGCTCTCCGTGTGCTTCATCGCTAGTTTCACCATCTTGTGCCGTGCTACGTTCCACCGTGCACCCCGTGCTATTTCCATCATGCCGTGCACCCCGACGCACACGCTCGTGCACTCCGTCGCTGCCGTGTAACCAATGTGGTGAACTACGCCTCCGCGCGCCACTTACACACCCGGACTACCGAACGTCATCAGGGACTCCTGCACCATGAATCCGCACCACGCACTCGTGCTACTCACGTTGCCATACTCCGTGCCGCAAGCCCTTGTTTACTCCGTGTGTGCCGTGCCGTGACGCATCGCGTCAAACATGCGCACATCCACACGGACCTGTACCTGTACTCCTGCCGGCGGTGCAGATCTACTCCTGAAACCTAGATCTGATAAAGTCGGGCCGGGCCTGGTCCGACATCTTCGGTGGGTCCATCGAGCGCCAGCCCACGCCATTTAAGCGGCTTAGGAGCACGTGCATCCTCTACGTCCCAGCTCCTCACTTGCATCAGCCAGTGGGTGTGGCAGTCACGTGATGCACGTGATAATGCATTTTGATACTGACACGTGGCTTATAACCATTGGCTAGCTTTCCGCGCTGACACACCCCCAGCTCGTACATAGAAGAACAGGCCCGATCCGGAATGCAACGTGCATTCTGGTTCCTGGTCCACATTTTCAAGCCTCTCACTCTCGCTCTCTCTCTCTCCTCTCTGTGAAGCGTGCCACTGATTCTGAAACTCTCTCTCCGTTTCCGCGGTCGACGTCATCGCCTCCGTCGTCGCTCTCCGGCGGCGCCTCCGGTGGCCAATCGTCTCTTCCGTCGTCATCTCGACGGGCCGTTTCTCCTTCTCTCCCGTGGGCGGCGTTCGTCATTGAATGCTTCATTCCCCCCCTACTATCTGTCTATAAATTCCTGCTTATGCCATGAAAACCTTCCGTCTCAAGGAAGCTGATTAGATAATCACCGCCGCCGGAGGGGAGGGGGGGGGGATGTTGAGAAAGAACACAGACGAGGGCACCATCTAGGTTCCTTATCTATCCGCCATCGTTCTCGAAGGTCAACTCTGGACCCCTTGATTATCTGTCTCTACTTATATCTTCACCCGCAGCAGGGCAATAGGCAACTCTGATCTGATCTGATCTGATCTGATCCGATCCGATCTGATCTAATCCACTCTGCTTTACTCTACTCGGCCCTCCCACCATCGTCTCCCCCTTCTTTTTCTCTCTCTCTCGCTCGCTCGCAACTGTCCCAGCCTTCTTCTTCCCGTCCCCAAGGCGGCAGAGGCAGCAGCGGTGACTCCGGCAAATCATTGATAAAACCACAGGTGAACTCCGATCTAGCCTCCTCAAGATCTCCACAGTGGTCCCGCCATCTCTCTATCCCGAAGATTAACAAAAAAAAGATTAATTATCATCTACATATATCAGTCTCTCTCTCTTTCTCTCTCCGTCTCTGAAATCTTGTTCTCCGATTTTTCTGTCTTCTCCTGGCCACTGCTGCATGCATAGAATTTAATTTTGCGATGCCCTCGGCCCTGCGGGGTTAGCGGGTAGGTTAGAGAGCAGGGAGGAGGGCGGGAGGATTTAATCAGATTAAAAAACTTGGCTATATCTTCCTACTCCCAAGGAATTTACCTTCCTGTCACGCGGAGCTACCGGCCTGGTATGGCCCTCCTCACCAGCCATTCTTCCAGCTTCTGCTGTTATTTATGGCCCCAACGGTTTCGACCTTCGTGCCCTCCGATTCCTCCCGCCTTTCCCCGCAGATCCATCGTTCTCGCTTCTACTTGCTCCTCTCATTCTCTTTCTCGGTCGCCTGATCCCTTGCACTTACTCCGCCGCCGCAGCAGGGGAGGCGGTGCAGCGATGGATCTGCCGTCGCCGGCGCCCGGCGGCCCAGCCGCCCGGTTCGGTGAGAGGGACCTGGTGACGTCGGGTCACCTCCGTCACGTGGAGTCCATGGCTCAGCTCCCCTCCGGGGCCGGGCGGATCTCCCACCTGAACGCCGTCGTCCTTGGCGAGTCCCTCGCTTCAGAGGAGCATGACCTGGTCTTCCCCAGCCCTGAGTTCTCGTCCCAGGCGCTGTTGTCGTCCCCGGAGCAGTACGGTGCAATGTACCGCCGCTCCATCGAGGATCCCAGCGGCTTCTGGTCCGAGATCGCGAAGGAGTTTTACTGGAAAAAGGGATGGGGCGATGGCCCCATCGTGGAGCAGAACCTCGACGTTCGCAAGGGCACCGTGAAGATCGAGGTCCGTTGGCTCTATGAACTGCTGCACAACCTCTTGGTCCGATCTGTTCGGGTAGTGATCCTTGTTTGGTATGTGTTGGGTTGCAGTGGTTTAAAGGCGCGACAACGAACATATGCTACAATGCTCTGGACAGGATCATTGGAAGAGGTGATGGGAACAAGATAGCACTCTACTGGGAGGGGAACGAGCCTGGGCACGATGCGAAGCTTACTTACAACGAGCTGCTGGAGAAAGTCTGCCAGGTATTCTGTTCTTTCCCACCTTTTCTCCATTGACAGGTAGTTTTTGTTGTTGGAATGTTGGTTGCGAATGAACAAATCTCTCTCTCTCTCTCTCTGGTGCTCTGTTTCGGACTTTGATCTGATGGGGAAGGTGGATTTTTTTTCATGTTTGCAATGGCAGCTTGCTAATTACTTGAAAGATATCGGCGTGAAGAAGGGTGACGCGGTGGTTATTTATCTGCCGATGCTGATGGAGCTACCAATCGCAATGCTGGCGTGTGCTCGCATTGGTGCTGTGCACTCTGTACGGTGACAGTTTATCAGTAGAAGTCTTGATGCGCTAGGTAGAAGAGCTGGGATCTGGATGCTTCGAGCCTTTCTTCTCATCTATTTGCCTCTTCCCCTCTTTCCAGGTTGTTTTTGCTGGGTTCTCTGCGGAGTCACTCGCCCAGAGGATCCTTGATTGCAGACCGAAAGTTATCATAACCTGCAATGCTGTTCGACGAGGCCCAAAGGTCATACATCTCAAGGATATCTCCGATGCTGCTCTCCTTGAATGTGTAAATAATGGCGTCTCAGTAGGTATGCGACTTGAAAATTCTTCTTACTTTTGGTCTCTTGAAAAGCTTCTCTTTAACATTTCAGGGATCTTATTAAATAGACGGTTACTATTACCCTGGCGAGGGAGAAACTCTTATGTCATTATCTTCTTCTCCACTCTCGGGGGAAGGAAAATGGAGGGAAAACATAAACAAAATGGAATCTTTCTGTAAAGGGCAAGCTGAATCGTTCCCAAGAGAGAGTAAGAAACTACGAGTTATACTTGGAGGAGCTCAAGACATGACAGGAAGCGTACCATTTTAGTGAAAGTCAGCCCCGCAAATATGACATCTGGCGACAATTCTATGAATACAAAACGTTTTTGAGCAGCTGGTTGTTCATGAACCACATAAAGCAATGGCCATATATTTCCATGGCCAAAGTCCCCACCGATGTTTAGCTGGGGGGAGGGAAATGATGTCGTGTCATTTCAGTAACTACTAAAAGTTCTCCTGTCTTGATCAATACTGTTAAAAAAGCTAGATCATGGCTTATTTACCTGCATCTAAATAATTCTCATGTCTCTTTGGTCATCATGGTGAAAGGCTATTTTCTGTTATTTCATGCTTATTATTCTCCCGGTGAACAGGAGTATGCTTGACATATGAGAACCAGTCGGCCATGAAGAAGGAGGCAACCAAATGGGTGGAAGGAAGGGACATCTGGTGGCAGGTGAATACCGTCCTTAACCCACCCCTGTAGACGTGGGCACATATTTTGGAGCATAATAACGGATAATCTGAAGATATTTGTTAGTTTTATCATGTTCAAAACGGCCAAAAAAGGCTTGAAGAAACTATCGATATTTTTTAGAAATATGTAATGACTTAACTATTTTTGAGAGTTCTATCCATAGTTTTCATCTTTAAATACTGTTTTTTTAGAACAGAATCTTATAACCAAAAATTGGATTATTTGGTCTATAATTGAAATAAGATAACTGAAAAAAGATATTACTTAAATTACTTTATCTGACAATCCCTTGTTTAACAAACTAATTTTATTAATCTTTCTTGATCAATCCCTTTGTCCCTCATTGTTCGAGAATAAGAAAGATCCGTTTCGAGTTTTAATTTGTTCATTTGGAATTTGGGTTTAGGATGTGACCCCCAAATATCCTACGACCTGTGCTGTGGAGTGGGTAGATGCGGAAGATTCCCTATTTCTCTTGTACACCAGTGGTAGCACTGGAAAACCAAAGGTAATCACCTTCTTCCATTATCTTTGCTATTGGGTTGCTTCTGGTTCGTTCAGAAGATGTAAATAGAAAGTACTTTTGCAGGGTGTTTTGCATACGACGGGGGGTTATATGGTATATACTGCCACTACATTTAAATATGCATTTGACTACAAACCTTCGGATATTTACTGGTATGATCTGCAGGGATTCTTGATATCAATTTGCTTGGATCTTGTTGCTTAGTCGAATGACTTTGTATTCTTCACATCTGAAAATAGGTGCACTGCTGACTGCGGATGGATCACTGGACACAGCTATGTGACATATGGTCCTTTTCTTAATGGAGCTAGCGTTTTGGTCTTCGAAGGGGTAATGGGCACTACTACAACCCTGGTTTTATTCTATGTACTAATTGTATTAGGAAGGGGAAACCTTGTAGTAAATCTAAAATATTTTCGTAAATTTATTTATCCTCTTGTATTGAAATCAAAAAGATCTTCTTACCATGCTTTACTTGTTATCCATAATTGCCTTTCGACAGCCTTGCTTTAGCTGTGTTTCCTCGTGTGTATCACCTAATTTCCTCATGGATAGGCTCCAAACTATCCAGATGCTGGTCGCTGTTGGGACATTGTTGATAAGTACAAAGTAACTCTTTTCTACACTGCTCCGACACTAGTACGATCCCTCATGCGTGAGAAAACTGAGGTAATACATAATACTTTATATACTTCATTTCACATTTCTCTTACGATGACAAGCACGTGCTGTTTCATTGGAGGGAGAACAATCCACATTCATCCTTCATGTTGAAATTTCCTGTCAGTGTCCATTTATCCCTTTGTCTCAGAATATGGAAATAGTTAAGATTAACCTATTTAGGTTTTTTTTAATTTTGATAAATCCTGTGTATGTTTCTTCAATTATAATCATTTTATTTTCTCCTCATGCTTTTTCCATGTGAAACTATGCATTATGATTTAACATCCGGTTTTAGAGAACTGAAGGATGCATGAACGTTCTCACCCATGCCAGTTTTCCTTTTTTCTAGTGAGAAACATTTTCTTTTTTTTCAATTTTAAGCATTCATTTCCCTTTTGAAAATTCCACAATTTTTTATTCATTTTCCTTTTCCCAGGATTTTCAACTTTTATATAAATTTAGGATAACTTCCTGCGACATGGTCTGCCCTCAAGAATCACGAGATTTTATAATGTGCTTGTCCTTTGGGATTCAGTTGTCTACTTCTCTAATTGATTTCAGGGATGCTAGATATGTTCTTAAAACACAAGGATACTAAGGCTGAAAGGAAGATCTTCAAAACTTGTCCTGTCAATTCCCAATGTTCAAGCAACTGATAGAGATTTTAGAAACCCGCAGGCTGGATGCAATGTCGAATTTTTGCCCCTGATTTTTCCACTTCAAAAATCAGTAGTGTAGGCCATGAGGCTTGACTATTATTGCAAAATAGGAAAAACCATTAATTAGTGTCTTGTACGCCTATATTAAGACCTTCTGATTGCCTTGACAGAGTAGAGACCTAACATGCCAAAAATCATTCCCTATCGGGCAGCTTATTTATACCCATGCTGACGTTTTCTGTAGAGTTTTCTGGGTCAAGTTTTGTGCATTGTATTCTGTCTATGGTGTCTCAGACATGCAATTGAAGAGTTTTTTGGAAGTTCGGAAAGGTTCATTGTTACTGATTACACAATATTCTATGCATCCGCGGTGTTGTACGTGGATTTACCAGAAGGAAGGGACAATTTTCTCCTTGTTCTTGCTGGTCGGCCTTGCCCACGCTTCAGTTAATGGTTGTCGTATTTCTTCTGTTCTCTCTTAGTGCTCGCTCCTATCAGTGGCTTTTGCAGCTTCCCCATTTCTTCACTGATAAACGGTAGGAGTTGCTTCCGAACATAATAATGAGGCAGAATATCTTGGTCTCTGAATCGAGAAAACCTTGCGGTTAGCATTTCTTCTTCAAGGTTCGGGATGTCTCCCATAGTTCATCAGTATGATAATTATGTAATCTTTAAAACAAAAGGACCACGGAAGCTGGGAAAGTATACTGGGAGGCTATTTGTTTGCGAGAGAGGTCTTCGGATGGAGCCATGAGTTTTTGTGGGAGAATAGACCAAATCAGAGATAAATGTAAGTTAATATAATATCCACGACCATTGAATTTTATTCGTATGCTAGCGGGTCAGTCTACATTTGTCGCCGCATGTTTTCTGTTCCTTGGAAATATGCTATCAACTTATGTCATCCTTCATATAAAGTGGCACAGAAGATCGCTCCATTCATGCCAATGAGCAGAATAGAAATCGAAGAATTCGGTTGGAAAGTTTAGGAGGGAACTTGTCTGGAGACCTCTTCTGACGTCGTAGCCTGTAGCAGCTGCCAACTCTACCATGAGCATGCCTGAAAATTGCCAGGAGAATGGGCTTCGAATGATGATATTCCTGCTCTCAGGCTCCCTTTCTGTGGTCCTGCTCCTTCTCGTGGACGGAGTCTGTGTACTATCATAAACAGGGTACGATGAACAGTTTCCTAGGTTTTGATGAAAACACCGACCTTCACTCAGGGAAGCCCACAAAATCGCTCCCATTTGACATCCCAGGTTCCAAGAAGAGAATCGATATCGTTTTGTCTGTGCGCTTTGGCCATCTCAGAAAAAAGCATGAATCCGCCCATTCTTCATCCGATTGAGCACGCTGAGGAGATGATGAAGAAGGAAAGAAACCCACCCATAATACTTTTCCTGTTCCCTCCCATTCAAAATCTGTTTCTGCTCAATTCTAAATTGCTCTTGTTGACGATCTGCTCTCGGTATGTGGCGATGCAGTACGTGACTCGCGCCTCTCGGAAGTCGCTGAGGGTCCTGGGCAGCGTGGGAGAACCCATTAACCCAAGCGCCTGGAGGTGGGTTGCTTCCCCGCCGCCCTTCTATTCTATGCCTGTGATCCTTTTATTTAGAGGGTCTTCTCATAGAGTCTGTTCTATGCCTTACAGGTGGTTCTTCAACGTCGTCGGAGACTCGCGCTGCCCCATTTCGGATACCTGGTGGCAGACTGAAACGGGTGGCTTCATGGTGATTCGATTTCTCCCCGGAAAAACTTTTAATTTCAGATCCAGCGGCTGCTCTGGCTTCTGGGATTTCAATCCACTGTTTGACTCTTGTTTCTGCAGATCACCCCCCTGCCAGGTGCGTGGCCTCAGAAGCCCGGCTCGGCGACCTTCCCCTTCTTTGGTGTCCAGGTGGGGAAAAAATCCTCCTCTCAGAAACAGAGAGTAAGGAATGAAATCTATCTGCACCAGTGTGATTAAGAAATGTCTGTGATCGCAGCCGGTGATCGTCGACGAGAAGGGGAACGAGATCGGCGGCGAGTGCAGCGGCTACCTCTGCATCAAGAGCTCATGGCCCGGTGCATTCCGGACCCTCTACGGCGACCACGAGCGCTACGAGACCACCTACTTTAAGCCCTTCCCCGGCTACTACTTCACCGGTGACGGCTGTAGCAGGTTCTCCACCTCTCTCATCTTCTTCCCTCTCCTCTCTCTCTCTTTTTCAACTTCTTCACTTCGCACTTTTCCGATGCCGGCCCAGGGATGGCGACGGCTACCACTGGCTCACTGGGAGGGTCGACGACGTCATCAACGTCAGGTACCAACTCGAAATCCCTCCTCTTCATTCTTGGTTGCAGAGAAGGAAGGTGGGTGGTTGCTGGTTGTGGTGTGGTGTGGGTTTTAATTGGCGGAGCTTCTGTTTCCTCTTCCCTCCCACGCAGCGGGCACCGGATTGGCACCGCGGAGGTGGAGTCGGCGCTGGTCTCCCACCCGCAGTGCGCAGAGGCGGCGGTCGTCGGCGTCGAGCACGAGATCAAGGGACAGGGCATCTACGCCTTCGTTACCCTCATCGACGGCGTCCCCTACAGCCAGGAACTCCGCCAGAGCCTCGTCCTCGCCGTCCGAAGCCAGGTTCGTCCTCTGTCTGCCCCTTTCTTCCGAGATCCTTAGAAAGCAGTAGTGGTGATGATCGCCGGAGCGGGGCCGTTGGCGCGGCGGCTGTGGGTGGCGCAGATCGGGGCGTTCGCGGCGCCGGACAAGATCCACTGGGCGCCGGGACTTCCGAAGACGCGGAGCGGGAAGATCATGCGGAGGATACTGCGGAAGATCGCCTCGCGGCAGCTGGACGAGCTCGGCGACATCAGCACCCTCGCTGACCCCAGCGTCGTTGACCAGCTTATCGCCCTCACCGACTCCTGAGGTGACAAAAAGTCCACCCTCACCCTTCCTCTCACTCTCTCTCTCACTTCTCTCTCACTCTCTCTCTCTCTTTTCTGATTCATTGGGTTGCCTCCCTCGTCAATAAGCCCCTCTGTCCGCAGGTTGTAGCGACTGAATCTGCCTCCCCACGTTGAAACTTTTCTTTCTGTTTCCCGACATTCCTTCCTTGATGCACAGCGAGCAAGCGAGGGAGAGAGAGAGAGAGGGGAGAGAGAGAGAGGGGAGAGAGAGAGAGAGAGAGAGAGAGAGAGAGAGTGCCTTACTTCTTCTGCAAGGATAACGCCACGAGGGTTGCAGGAGCAGAGCAGCCTGCCCGATCGGAAATGGCGTGGGGGGACCGAGAGTATATGTAGGAGGCGGTCGACTGGAATTGGCCATCGGGAGGCGGAATGGCGGCGACGGAGGGGAGGGAGTGGGCGGTGGAGATCCAGACGGAGGCGGCGGCGGGGGGGAGCGACTGGGCAGCGGATATCCAGAGGGAGGCGGATAAGGTGAGCTCGACGGCTGAGTCGGAGCTGTGGGAGAAGCACTCCATCTACCGGGTGCCGGGCTGCATCAAGCAGCTCAACCCCCAGGCCTACACGCCGCAGGTGGTCTCCTTCGGCCCGTACCACCATGGCTCCGAGCCCCTCACCGCCATGGAACCCCACAAGCTCCGCTCCGTTGAGCGCATTCTCCGCCGCTCCAAAAAGCACTTCCACCTCTTCGTCGCGGCTGTTAGAGAGGTGCAACAGTGCCTGATGGACGCCTACGAGCGCCTCGACAAATTCTGGATCGAAAACCCGGATGCCTTCCTTAAGATGATGATTATCGACGGCTGCTTCATGCTTGAGGTCCTCCGCATGGCCACCGGGTCCCCCACCAGAGCTTTCGCCGCGGAGCAAGCTGTCGCCGCGGAGCAAGCTGTCGCCGCGGAGCACTTGTCCAAAGACCCCATATTCAGCCCCCACGGGATGCTCTACACCGTCCCCTACATCAAGCGCGACATGCTCATGCTCGAGAACCAGCTCCCCCTCCTCGTCCTCCACATCCTCGTCTCCGTCCAGGGAGGCAAGGTCCCCAAGGTACGCCGCCACCATCGCCCTCCTCATGGTCGTCGTCGTCCTCATCCTCCTGATGGGGTCTCCTCGGTAGGAGCAGATCAACAATCTGGTGCACAAGTTCTTCGCCCAGAAGGAGAACCTGTCCATGAAGGAGCTCGGGCTCCACCCGCTGGACGTCTGCCGGATGGGCCTGCTGAAGAATCCGGAGGAGAAGTCGGGCGGTGGCAAGGCGGCGGGCGGTGGCCAAAAGCGGGCGGGCGACGGTGACAAGAAGGCGGACGGCGTGGTGGAGATGGTCTGGTCAGCGACGAAGCTTAACGACGCCGGCGTGCGGTTCCGCGGGAGCGGGTGCAGGAGCCTGCGGAACATTCAGTTCCGGGGGGGGTTTCTCCGGGGCGGCGTGCTCATCCTGCCGGAGGTGGTGGTGGACGACCTGATGGAGCCCATGTTCCGTAACCTCATGGCCATGGAGCGCCTCCACGTCGGCGCCGGCAACGAGGTCACCTCCTACGTCTTTTTCATGGACAGGATCATCGACTCCGCCAGGGACGTCGAGCTGCTGCAAAACTGCCGGATCATCCAGAACGCCATCGGCAGCGACAAGGCGGTCGCGCAGCTGTTCAACAGCCTCTCCAAGGACGTGTCTCTCGATCCCAACGGAGGCCTCAACGAGGTGCACAATCAGGTCAGCACCTACTGCCAGAGGAGATGGAACGTCTGGCGGGCCAACCTGATGCAGACCTACTTCCGCAGCCCCTGGGCCTTCCTCTCCCTCGCCGCCGCCGTCTTCCTCCTCGTCCTCACCGTCGCACAGACCATCTTCACCATCCTCCAGTGGCATCAGGGCCTCGCCACCGACGCTCAGTCCCCCTCTGCCGCCTCGGTCGCCCCCTCCTCCAACTGATACTCTCTCTCTCTGCAGTCTTTCGTCTTGCCACCTGCACAAGTTATGTGATGCCACGTCGTCGGGGATGCGGACCCCTGAGTGGGCCCTTCCGGCAAATCAAACGTGCTTTTGAATAATGGTCTGGTTTGGGCCAAGTTGGGCGTCAGGAAAAACCACTTATAAAAACAGGACTTTCGTGCTTACCATGGAGGTTTCTCACAGTATGCAGGTAAGCCCGTCAGCATTCATGAGCCTGGATCCTTGATCCAGACCCTGAGAGAGAGAGAGAGAGATATGAGTTATTTTTGAGAGAAAATCCCATATAAGCCTTGTCATCTGCTTAGTCAAGAGGCTGAGGTGGCTAGATGATGCCTTTTGTGATGACTACTTTTGAAACATTAGGGGAGAGGGAAATCAATGTTTTACAATTTACAGTCGATGTTTTGAAACATTGGGGACACAATAACTTCAATTTAAACAGTAAAACTTAATATTAGTTCATTTTCTCATGTGATGTAAGATAGAGTTGTACATTGATAAAATCAAAATGTGAGGAAAATGGATAATGTAAAAGATTTTTAAAATAAAGAAAGTTATTGTGCTGGGATTTCAGAAGGAAAATTACATTGACTTAGTCAACTATGACTTTAGGAAGGTAAGGTGATCATATGTTGTCCAAAGTTAATTGTTGTGGATTGTTTTTTAGCTCTCTAGATGCCAACAATCTATGGGATATGGCAGGAAATGATTTTACTGATTGGACGATCATGATAATATTGACCTTACATAGTTGAGTAAATCAATTGAATATTTTAAAAACATGGTTTCCTTCATTTTTTTTGTCCTATTATATTATTATAGTTAGACACAATTCGTTAAGAGCATCAAGGATGCCAATTTGAAGGTTATCTCTAGAGTTTTAAATCCTTAATTTTAGGAATAATGATAGAAAAATTATTATTATTTTTGCCATAGGTGAGGGAGGCCTCATGACCAGAGGCCCCTCCTACCACTTGTTTCCCCCTTCGTTTGGCACACATCTATGCACCATGACCTGCCCACCCACCAACCTACCCGATTGATCTTATGGCACATTATTGCACTACACCCAACTGCCTACATTTTCTAGACACTTGTCCCTTCATCTTCTTGTTTGAGATATTTTAATCATTAGTGTTTCAATTGCGTTTCTATTTTTTCCTCTCCCCCCCTCCCCCCCCCCCTTCTCTTATCCCTCGTCATGATGATGATGCTCTGGAGTTTGGGATTTCAATGACAATCATGCCTCTTTCTTTAAATATTATTTTTAAATTGTCTTTATATGTAAGTTATTTAGGGATTTTATTCATCTTCTACTTTCTTGATGCTTCCAACACTGGATTTTGACCATCTCTGGCCTTGTATTACTCTTTGGATATCTTTTGGTAGCGAGGACTGACAACAATTTGAGCCTAAACAAGAATGAAGCCATCAATGATTTTTATAAGTTTATCCATCTTAGGACTATTCCATCTTAAAGGAATCATCCACCTATTCTTTCTTGATTTGTCACTTAGGAATAGGGGTGATGTCTCTCACTAGTAAGGTGAGATTCTTAATGTTTTTTTGATGAAAATTGATAAAATCATCTTCCATTGTTCTGATGTTAGTTTCATATTCTTGAAGAAATACAATATCATCATCTAGAACTATATTTCTTCTTTCTCAAGTGTATCTTCTCAATGTAAGAGTACTAAATGTGTTCTTCTAAAATGAGAGGTATGTGGATATTATTTTCATATGGAATTATTTGTTGATCAATGTTGGGCAAGATGATTGCATCTTGATTATTTTCAATAACAAATGAAAGAATATTGACATAATAATCTTCAAAAATAGTGTCTCTAATCATTTTTCTCCTTACAAACTCAAAATATTCAAAGAAAAAAATAACTTCCATTAGTTCTCAAAAATTATTTATGACCTCAAAAACAACTTCAATTGTGGAATCATAAAACTCATTAACTATTTTAGAGTATTAAAAAAAGTAATTAATTATTTTACACTTATTTTCTTCCATTAGGTCTATAAGGTCTTGACTTTGCTAGACAAATCAAAATATGTAAATATTTTAAAATTTTCTCCCTAGAAGTATTTGGTAGGATATAAATTAGCTAATCATGCTCCTCATCATATCCAGAAGTATATTATTTCATCACTCATGATATGAGATCTAGACATGTTGTACTATAGGACAATGCTACATTCTTAAGTATTTAACGAAATGTCTTAGATATTACTCACTAGACCTATCATATCTACCTTAATGTTTGCCATCATGTTTCAGTATGATGGCTTTAATCATTTTGTTGAGTTGATTACCAATTTTGATTTTATGTTGTTGAACACATCTAATTATTTTTACTTACATGAATGTGATAAGTAATGAAATATTCATATGTATAAATGTAATGAAATACTTATCTATAAATATAATGAAATTTTATTGACAATTCTTGAAGGTTGTAGTCAATGGATCACAAATATTCATATGTATTAGTTCTAAGATGTCCATAACTCATTGACAACCAATGTTTTTATATTTTTTTATTTTTTCTTGATAGAATTAATACCTCTACCAAAATTCTTAGAATTAGGTGGGCCAAGAGTTATGTCAGACTATCAATTCTTTATCAGATATATGACCCATGTTTTCATCAAGTAGATAACTTTTTATTTCTAAATAGATAATTATAAATAAACATTTTCTAATTAAAAAATATAAATCAATTTTGTTGAAAAGATGGTAAAATTAAATCTCACTCAAATCTAAATAATGACTAATATTTAACAATCATATAAATCTCTATATTACCTCAACTTATACTATATTATCGTTGTTGTATAATATAGGTATTTTTTCACGATGAGTTTGACGTCAACACTTATGTCAACTCTACACAAATATGCTTATGTGAAGAATAATACCATAATATATCCACCAAGTCTGTAAGGGTACATAAGTAAATTAAATTTTATTTTATGTGCACTATTTTTTTTTACTATGTCCACTATTTATGTCCACATTTAGAGTAATTTACTATGGTATCATGAGTAAATATGATCACCTTTTTTTCTGTGTCAAGTATAACACTTAGTACAATCTTTTTAATGTGTCCATCATATTTGCAAAAGAAATAAGTAGATTTCTTATTTTTTTTTTTTTTTTTTTTGTGGTGGTCTACTTACAACTTCATTGTCTTTAAGTCATTTCTTGATTTTATTTTTTTAGGTTACAATCAAGTAAGTACTTTAAGTCTCTCTCTTACTTTTTTTTCTCTTCTTACGCATCATGTGGTTAAGCTTAATAAGAAACTATTTTCTAATTTGAAAATGATAGTTCACTTTAAATTGTTTAAATTGTGCAGGGATAAATCAAAATTAAGTTAATGAAGAAATCTTTGATAGTTTTAACTTTAGTATTTTTATTTTTTATACAAGATGAGACATTTCAAAAATATCATTTCTTATAGTTACATTGCCTTGGTACTCATCAAATCATTTTTACAAAGATCATACTTGTTTCAACTTTATCATTTATCAAACTTGTCAAAAAAGACTTGTTAAATGACCTCTTTAGACAAAGTGACCTTGAATGTTTTTGAATCGTCGTGGATCATGATCATGAGACTTGTATTATTTGATAGGCCCAACTTTTGCATCTATATCTCTATTTTCCTTAATACAAGGTCTAGATTTATGACATTGAGAACAATCATAATGCTTTACTTCAATGTCTAGAAGTTTATGCCACTAAACATAAAAATAAAATTAATACTAACATAAATATTAAAAGTATAACTTTAAATTGTACAAGTAAGAACATAAAGCTTAAAAGAGTAACTTAATTTAAAGATGTTAATTCACATCACAAGATATTGAGTACAACATTAATATTTTATCTTTAAAAAATAATATTAATTATAAACAATATCTTTGTGTAATAAATAAATATAAAGAATAAAATTATGTCAAATAATAAGTTTTTTTGACTACTTATTGTTCATATGATAATTTAAATCATTATCACATATCTATTATCAAACGTGTAGATACACTCAAATATTAACTTTTCTTCATACAAGTTGTTATTCACATGAGTCACCTACACAATCATCTTATATTCTAAAATAATTAATTTTCACAGGATAACCTATAATATATTGGTTCAAAATATTCTATAATATTACACGTATACTAAAAAAATTGAATTGATTTTTTTTTTATATTTAAACATGCTCAATTAAACATACAAATTGAGAAATCAAATAACTTTCTAAATAATTTATGAAATAAACTTCATGATAATATCATTCCAGAAATAGAAAAATGGAATCTAAAAATAAAAAGCTTATTCAGTTGGCACAGACAGCAGACTAAAATCATCTTTAGGACTTCCATCATTTCAACTGACGCGAATCGGCGCGTGTCGAGCGGACCAGCTCACAGAAACGATGCGGCCTCTCACGCGGCGAAAAGGAGCTTCACGACGGTGGACACATGGCGGCGCTAAACAGAGGGTGACGACGGACGGAAGATGACGCCGGACAGGTGGTGGCACTGGATACAGGGTGGCCCGGATAGAGGGCAGCGTCAGACGGGTGTGGCCGGGAGACCGCCGAATCGCGGACTCCCACCCGGTGCGCACCGAAAGGGTGCGGCCCATTTTTCCCACCGAACCGACGCGGGAAGGGGACGGGCGGTCGAGTCGCGAGGCGGGCTGTAGTTCTCCCCGGCGCAAACGGCCGGCCGTAACGGTCCATTTGAACGGGGAATGCGGCGGACGCCCAGTCCGTTCCACCCCACGTTTTCCCTCGCCAGTTTCCGGACGGCCGGAGACCATCCTTCGGCAAGGGGGAGGACCGAAAACGGAGGGAAGAGGAGAAAATAGCGAGGGGCGTGCGGAAACCGCCGCCGCCCACCGTCCTCCGCCGCCGCCCTTCGAGCACCGCCTTACGACGCCGCCCTTCTAGCGCCGCCGCCGGCACAACTTGTTCATCTTCCGGAGCCACCTCCGGCGTCCGGAACCGACTTCCGGCATCCGGAACGGTCGTCCATCGTTCTCCAGCCTTACGCCCGACAACGGGAAAGAGGAGAAAGGGGCAAAAGGTGAGTGCCTCCCCCCACGATTTCCGAACGGAAACCTTCCTTCTGGGAAAGGAGAGAGAGAGGTGTGCGGGAACTACCGCTCCTCCGTCAGGCACACATCCAAAAAAAGCTGTAGTATATGATGTAAGTCTTTTATGTAAGCCATTTTCTTCCTTTATAACGTTATAAGAATTGTATTTTAATAATCTAACATGAGCAATATCTTTACGGCTTCGTGTATCTTATGAAGATTCTTGTTAATGCTCAACTAGATACATCTACAGCACAACGTACTTCTCACTCTTTATGGGCAACTAAGTCAACCATTATGAAAGTCATAAATTGCAGCCTTATTGTATATTTAGTAACGTAGGTTGCTTGGTCATGACTCAACTTGGATACCTTGCCTTTTAATCTGATTAGCATGTATTCTTGTCTATTTAATAAATCACAGCTTTATTGTAGCTCAATTCAGAATTGTGAGGCTAGCTTGAAAAATAAAAAAACAAAGTTTGGTTTCAAGTTGATTGGTATAGCCATTGCCTAGGTTGCAGTTAATTTAAACCCATTGGAGAATCATCATCTAAAGGAACGAAATTGACTATTGAAAACCACACTGTTCCAATTTATTGCCTTAAGTTTGTTTACATTTTTGATAAACTTTTTTCTATTCCTTTTACAAGAAGAAATTAAAAATCTATTTCTAATTAGGCTATTGATAAAGGGAGAATGAGGAGAAAGTATGAAAATGATTAAACATAAATTCTGAATGTTTCTTACTTTTGTGACATTGTTAACTTGAAAATTAAAAGTTTGTGCATTTCATGAATATCATAGGTTTCTAATATCAAATGCTATTCCATGTTATATACATTTTCAGTCAGATCATCTACAAAATTGTGGTATAAATGAAGTATTGAATGTAAATTTGACTTTGATATTTCTCATTCAGCAAAATGTGATGATTAGGGGGTCAACACTAAATCAGGCATATTTAGACTTGCATGTCCAATGCATGACCTGTCTTCTTGTTAAAACTAAACACAAAAATTGTGGGATCTATTCTTAATGCATGGTTATTTGATATGTATTGCTCCTCTTCTTGCTAATTAGTGACATGCTTCCTAGACTCTCAAAATTTTACTAACAGTAGACATTCTTGATCAAGTGGTTAAAATATTGAATTAAAAAAAATCAAAAATCATCAATGGGATGTTACTAGTTTGAAACATCTTTAGTAGATGGGGTTAATTTAAAACATAGTTAGCATTTGAACAAAATTTATTGTTCTCATTTATCAATTATTTCAAGGAATTAAGAGAATAATAAAGCCACAAACTGAGACCAAGTATGACAATGGTTTGATTTAGCCATCTCTTTTGTGCTCATCAAAATTGAAATTGTAGTCTATATTAAATAGATGTTGATAATTAAATAGGATTTGATTAATTTTGCATCATTTTGGATTCATTCCAATCCTAATCTTTTTGTGAATGGTAAGTCTTAAACTCTTTCATGCCAATATTATTTTAATTGAAATTTAAAAACACTTATGACTTCATATTCTAGTAAAAAAATTGGGCAAACTTGTAGTCATAGTCAATGGGATCAAGGTTATAGATTGTATTCTACTGCCATTGTATGTTGACTTTAAATAAAGTCATAATGGAAAATTTAGTACACACACCACTAAGGAGAGGATTTTTAGAGTGGCTTATTCTAATCCAAACTAGTTCAATTCTTTAGACTCTTTTTATGATATTTTTCACTAATATTTGTTTCTCTTAATCCAAAGACAAAGTTAACTTTTTCAAAGAATTAATGAAACATTAAAAGCTAATTGGCCTTCTCATGGTATCAATCCAAATTTTTTTAAAAAAATACATCTTAGTTTTTAAAATCATGAATTGAGAATATTGATATAAGCTAGGTGTGATCATCTAAATCATAAAAGCCTTTTAAATCTCTTGAACTTAAAACCCTCTTCTTGTTAATCTTTTACATGCTCAAATTCTTAAGGTATTCTTTAAAGGGGTTAACATGTTGCTTGGGGTCAGCTTATATTATTACTATTATCAAAGATATTGTCTTCACAAATACCATTTGCATTTATATTGAAAAGGTATCATTTTTCATGCCACTTACAATCACCATGGATTCTTTATATTTTTTCATGAGTCACTCATAGAAGTTGTGTTATTACATTCACTATTCAGATGTCAAGTTGAAATTAAATTTTTCCTCAAACTTAAGACATATGTTACATTTGTCTACATTTAAGTTTTCTCTTGATTATCTCTTACTATGGTCATTGCTCAGAATTATATTAGAGACATCATTTAGTTTATCCTAAAGAACTAATCACAATAGTCATATTAGCTCATCATCTCTAAAATAAGGAAGACATATGATCTAAATTACTACTACTTTTAAACTAGATATGTTGATAGCTTTATGTAATACTTCTTAATATGTCTTTTATCTTGGTGAGAACTTTTACAAATCATAAATATTTTTTTAGCTGCACTATACATGGTGATATGTGAATGCAATATGGATGCACTGTATATCAAAATATGTTATTATTTGATAATCTATGATTCTATTTTGATAACTAGTTATTGAGGCTAGGTATGTATTGGCATTCATTATTTTTCCATGGCATGTAATTTAAATAATTAGAATTAAATGTTTAAATATGCCTCATAGACCTTGGTTGATAGATAAATACATTAGTGTTTATAGTTTTTCTTTTAGCTCTATGGCTCTAACAAAATGTCAATAAAGCTTTCTCTCTCATCAAATGTCACTCCCCGAAATGAGGACAAATGATTTTTTATGAAATAATTATAGAAGATTGTATAATTTACATATAGAAGTTGTAATGTATTGAAAGGTTTATGGTTATGGCTATATGAATAAGATTGATACACCTTAAAAAAATAGAATTAATATAATTCAATATGATTTATTTTGATTTATTTTATTTCAATATTGTTTCTTATAACTATAAATTAGTTATGTTTCATTTTCAGGATTCAAAGAGGATTTATTTAAAGGAATCTTCTTAGAGGGTTATCATTGAGGATTTACTCAACCATTTTGGAGCATCATCACACGAGTATATTCACGTGTACATTCTTTTTCATTTGGCAATATCATATGTGGGGATGACACATTCAAATATGCATGTAAGGTCCAATATGGGGGATGGTTTTCGAGTTAGTACTTCAAGTGTGCCCAGCAACTCAAGTCAAGGGTCTGGACCAGATGACTGTGAATCTTTGGGCGATGTCTATGTTTGGGGAAAAGTGTGGTTTGATGGAGTAGATGGATGTTCAAAAACTGATGTATTGCTCCCCAAGTTGCTAGAATCTAATATAGTTTTAGAAGTCCAACACATTGCTTGTGGTGCTCGACATGCTGCTCTTGTAACAAGACAAGGTGAGGTATTCACTTGGGGTGAGGACAATGGTGGAAGACTTGGTCGTGGGTATCATACGGATTTTAGTCATCCTCAACTTATTGAATCTTTGGCAATATACAACATAGACTATGTTGTTTGTGGAGAACATCATTCGTGTGCTATATCAGTATCTGGTGATCTATATACATGGGGAAATGACAATTTGCATGTTGGATTTCTTGGTCATGGAACAGATGTCAGCCATTGGATTCCTAAAAGAGTTTCTAGTCCCCTTGAAGGATTTCAAGTGTTATATGTTGCATGTGGTTCTTGGCATTCTGCTTTGGTTACATTTAGTGGGAGGCTATATACATTTGGTGATGGCACATTTGGAGTCTTAGGTCATGGGGATCGAGAGAGCATTGCTTACCCTAGAGAGGTTGAATCATTGAATGGATTAAAAACTATAAAGGTTGCATGTGGAGTGTGGCACACAGCAGCCATTGTTGAGATCTCAGGACAATTTGGTGTTAATGTTATATCAAGGAAGTTATTTACGTGGGGTGATGGAGATAAATATCGTCTAGGTCATGGTGATAGAGAATCTAGGTTAGTCCCCACATGTGTCTCATCACTTATTGATTACAACTTCCATCAATTAGCTTGTGGGCATACTCTCACTGTTAGTTTGACAACTTCAGGACATGTTTTTACAATGGGAAGCACTTGCTATGGACAACTTGGAAACCCTCACTCTAATGGCATAATTCCATGCATTGTTCAAGACAGGCTTGTAGGAGAGTTAGTTGAGGAAATTGCATGCGGAGCATATCATGTTGCTGTTGTAACATCAAGAAGTGAGGTGTTTACATGGGGAAAAGGAGCCAATGGAAGGCTAGGTCATGGAGATATAGAGGATCGGACAACACCCACCTTGGTTGAGGCTTTGAAAGATAAACATATCAAAAGCATATCATGTGGTTCTAATTTTATGGCAAGTATATGCATTCATAAGTGGGTTTCCAGCATTGATCAATCGTTTTGTTCAGGATGTCGACAAGCATTTAGTTTCACGAGAAAAAGTCACAATTGCTACAACTGTGGTCTTGTACACTGTCATGCTTGTAGCTCTAAAAAGGTCATGAGAGCTGCATTGGCCCCAACTTTGAGAAAGCCCCATCGTGTGTGCGACTCGTGTTACACGAAACTTAAAGCATTAGAAACTAAAAATGTGTCATCTGATGCTAAGAAATCTCTCACACATCGGCGGTCATTGGATTATAGGGAAAAATCTGAAAAGAAAGAAATGAAGCTTTCAAAGGTTTTGTTAGCACCTATTGTAGATCCTCTTAGGTACTATGAATCTAAGATGGTTAAGCAAGGAATAAAAGAAGATTTTTCATCATTATCTCATACATCTCAAATTCCATCTCTATTGCAACTAAAAGATATATCATTCTTTGGTTCAATAAGTGCGCTCCAAGTTGCTTTGAAACCAGTTGTCACATCAGCATCTCCTAATTCTAGGCCTACATCTCCATTTTCAACAAGGCCTACTTCTCCACAATTTATTACTCCGATATTTTCTAAGAGTGCTATTGACAACCTCAAAAAGACCAATGAACTTTTGAATCAAGAAGTGCTAAGATTACAAGCTCAGGTAGAATATTTTATATATGTCATGTTATGCTTTTTCTAATTTTTCAATTTGTTAAGATTACCATTTGATTTTTATTTGACATCTGCACATAGGTTAAAGGTTTAAGGCAAAGGTGTGAAGTTCAAGATGTAGTAATACAAAGATATGAAAAGAAGACTCAAGCAACATCAGTAGATGAAGAAGAGTCTTCAAATTTAACATTAGTAGAGCTTGACAAATCTATGACCACTAAGGTATTCTTCTATTTTGTTGTTATATGTTAGAAATCTAGTTGTGCTATTAACATTATTAAATCTTTGTCAAAAGTTATGTCAATGTGATCAAACATCATGAAATATATTTATTTCTTTACTAGAACATAGATTTACAATTTTGAAGTAATATAGAACATATTTATGATTAATAAGTGGATAAAATTTTCAATTAAAAGGAGGTAATTCTTGGCATTTACTAGTCACAATTATACAAATATGAAAAACATATGAGTTTACAACTTTTGTACCAATTTGATTGATCCATAATGGATTGGTTAAACATTTCATTAGAGAGCCTAGTTTTTACTATTATGTGGGGTATCCACTTGTACTTAAAGAAAATTCTTTAAAATTTCCCTAAGGGTTTTAACTAAAAAAAGATTTTACATTCTCAAGATAAAATGGGGAAGAAATAGAACCTTCCTACTTTCACCAACGCCATTTATTATTGTGATCTAATTATATGTTTCTCCTAAACTAATGTCCCAAAAAGATTTATTATAAACTTATTTTATCTAATGACTAGTTTAGTTCTATGACTATGAAATGAGATTATTTATAACTAAGAATTACTACCTCTAATTTATTTTATAATGTTTATAGAATTAAATATAGTCAACTTAGGCATTACTTTAGTTTTTTTTTACTTTGGTAGACATTATTGCGTACACCATTAGTTTTTTATGTTCATCATGAAGGAAGTTCCTTTATTTTCGTTTTATTATATTTCAAGTTGCCTTTTGATTTTGTCCAACAAGAAGATGATGATTGAAATATTTTTCAATTTTTTTGATAAATTAGATATTTTGTGTTGAAAACATAAATAACATTTTTTATGCAATGAAATGTTTTGCAGAAAAGGGTTGTGGCTACAGAAGGGATGTTAGATGCTACAAGGGATTTTCGAATTATAACATCACAAGTAGAGGGTTCAAAAATAAAAACAAACAATAGAATTAGTCAACCAGACTTTTATCAAGATCATAAAACTATTGGATCTAATCAAGTTGAAAATGAAAGAATTGTGAACCTAGGCGACATTGTTGACTCAACACCAAATCATTTTAGTAGTATGATGGTAGTTGGCCCTTTACCTGCAAGTCCAGTTGAATCAAGCAGTCGATCTAGAAGCCGTTCTGTGTCTCCTTTTTCAAATCATGTGTACGTTACTCGATTAGAGAATTTTGATGCAAAGGAAGGCACACAAAATGGAAGTATGGAGACTGACCCTCGATCACTTGATATTTCTATGTCAAAATACAACAAGGGAGGAAAGGAGGTTATTGAACAATTTGAGCCAGGTGTATATATTACAGTCATTCTACTTCAAGATGGGACAAAAGTCTTCAAACGAGTAAGATTTAGGTATGTGCATTCTTCCCTAGATCATTATGATTATCAAAGGTAAAACTTATTATCATTATGCTGTTTTATCTACTTGAAGAGGTTTCCATGTGAGGTTCATTAATGCCTTAATCTGTCAAAATATCACCCTTAATATTGATCATACTTGTCTATGAGTGAAATCATTTCTATTGAATAATATGAATGATATCTTGTCTACTTGATATAATGAGACATTCACTTCAATAGTTTGGCATGTGTTTGTATAATTAATTATATTCCATATATTTTGTGCATATGATAGAAAATCATAAACAATAATATCTCTCAACTATGATTATAGTCTATTTTATTTTACATTTTTTAATATCAATTCTTGATAGATGAAATTTTTTAATGAGTAGAGTCACCTTTATAAGTTGAATACATGTACACCATAAATAAAATATTCACTTGATTATTTTGTTAAGTTACTTAATTGCCTAACATGTAATCAATGGGTGATGGGTGGATTTAGGCCTACTTAGGTAGATATAATTTATTTATTTGTATACAAAGTTATTTCTTTGATCGCATAATTATGTATTGAGTGGTTTGCATCATTGACCATTCTTTCATGATTTTCTTTATTTTGATGATAAAAGTTATATACAATATATGCAGTAAGAGAAGATTTGCCGAGCATCAAGCTGAAGAATGGTGGAAGGCAAATCAAGATCAGGTCTTCAAAAAGTATATCCATCCAAACACGCATATTGCACCATCTACATCAGCATTACCCATGTTAGGGCCTGACAAAGATGATGTTGCCCCATCTTCATTATAGTTTGGGCATCAACATTAATGATGATAAGATATCTAAAAAGAATAAGCAATATGAATATGGCTCTTGATGAGTATTTTTAAGCTCTAGTGTTTTCTTCTCAAATGATTAGAGAGGATACTAGAACAATGAGATAGAAATGAAACTCATGTAAAATAATAAAGTATTGAGTTCCATTCTCTTTCGGATGAGTCTAAAGCTAATATAGAAGAAATAAATAATATTTTTTTTGACATCTAAATTACCTTACTTATCAATTCAACTATTTATTTAATGCTCTTAGATGTATATCAAATAAAAAAAATCATCAATCATTTGAAGCTATATTTTTTACTTCATTTATGTACATTTGAAGGTTCTTAAAGGTAAAGAGATATTGTAGAACTTATATGTGGTTCTTGTCTTCCCCTTTTATACTATACATCTTAGTCATATATTATTTAAAGAATTGATACTTGCCAACCAACTTCAATACATAAAATATTATTTATATCCTTACTTTCTTCTCTTGTATGAACTTAACTAATTAGGTTCAATATAGGTTCTACTCAGATATACCATTTAGTATAAATAAATCAGTCATACACCATTTGAACTTGAGAATATAATGAATCATTTGGTAAATAACAATCTACAAATCAATGAACCCTCTCTAGCAAATGAGATCAAATAGATTCAAAATGTATGACTTGGATGTGGGCAACTATGACTTCAAACATTATGAAAATTTTTCTGCATCTTTCTACAAAAAAAAGGGATAATCTTTCCTAGAAGTACTTTAAAACTAGAGATGTAGTATAATTATATGAATTAAAGTTGAAACTGAGGAATAGAAGACTAAAAATTAGTAGTGATAGAGCATACAAATAAATTGATGATATTATGTCATGAATTTGACCTACACATGATGGTGCACTTTAATGTTTAAGTGAAAGGAGTTGTAAATAGAAATGTGATGGAAACAACAAAACTATATGATTACTTACTGGGTCTCAATAATAAAATTGATCAATAATGAGCTTAGATCTTGGTTTGAGAAAATTTTCCTCCTCAAAATGAAGTAATATCCTTGATTAGGAGAGACGAATAAGTCTAATGTTAAATACAATATGGATAAAAAATAGTGCATTCATGGCAAAAAAGAAAGAAAGAAATAAGTTTCAACCTAAATCATAAAATTATAGAGAGACCAAAAGTTATATGAGAGATAATATGTGGTGTACATATGGTAGGAAATTATGTCACACTTTGAGAAGTGTTATAAATTACATGGTAGGCCTTTACATCGTCGTACACAATCCAAAGGCAATAATGAAGTCTATGTGGTAGTTTTACCATCCTAAGAGAATAATATAAGTCAACCAAAATAAATGGAGAACCTCAAAATATGGAGAAAGTTAACAAGATTGAGCTGTCTCTAGTAGCATGTTCATTTCTTCATTCAAGTGAGATACCACTTACATATACTTTAGTTACACTTCTTCTTTTGCAAATACTTAGATTATGGATATTGGAGCTACCTAAAACATGAACAACTCAACCCTTTAATTTTTCACATATTTCCTTTACTTGAGTGATAGAAAGGTGACAATTGTTGATAATTCATTAATAACTATAGTAGGCATAGTGAATGCCTAGCTTTCTCCTTACACTACCTCATGTCCTTCATGTTCCTAAACTAGCCACAAAATTAATATTTGTTAGTAAACTTACTAAATAATTAAATTGTAATATCTTTTTTCCCCTAATTTGTATGAAATCTATGACAAGGTATTAGCGAGTATGATTTAATATGCTTGGAAATGAAATGAACTCTACTTTTTTAGGGACCCTATTCATTTATATATAGCAAAGGAAGTGAACCAATCATCCCACCAACCAAATTCGAAGTAAATTTAGTTGTATCATCAAATACTTAGTCATCCATCATTCATTACTATTTAGACTATTTATTTTTTTGTTCCACACTATGGATGCTAGTAAACTTCACTATAACATTTGTAAATTGGCAAAACACAACTGAGTTACTTTACCTTGAAATAATATGAGAAGTCTTCTTTTTTTTTGTGCCCATAATTGATACATGAAGTTCTTCTACTATTTCAAATATTTCTAGAGCATGATGGTTTATAACCTTCATTGATGATTGTAATAATGATGGTTTATAACTTTCAAGTCACATGTAATTTTTTTAGTTAAAATAAATTTGATGTTCATAGTATTCTTACTATTTTTTCTATGATTAAAATATATTTAGGCTGATATTAAAAATATTATGTTTGATAATATTAGAGGTTATTTTAACTAAAATTTTGGCTCATACTTCCAAAAACAAGGAATCACTTATGAATCCTCATTTATAAATGCTCCCTAAAAGAACAAAGTTGCTGAAAGAAAGAATGATTACCTTCTTATAGTAAGTGATAAGTCTTCATTATCATGAGTTAATAATTAGTAAATAATATAGTTTTAGCCTTAACTCATGATAAATAGACTTATATTTGTGTTAAAGAATGATTTTTGGTTTTCAATTGATTAACGTGAATTTTTGGGTAATTATGTGATTTTATACGATTTTTACAGTCTTACTTTTGAGATAAATGAAGAACAAGAAATAAAAATAAAAATATTGCAAAAATGGGGGGACCCGCCGGCCAGCCAAGCCCGCAAGCGGGTCGGAAGCACAGTCGGGGAGTAAGCCGCGAGCAGGGGCTCAAGCGGCTTGGCTTGGGGACCAACAGGCACGCGTACGCCACTCCCCTTCCACGTCACCGGTGGCCAGCCGGCTGTGGGGCAAGGAGTGGTCGTACACGCGAGAGAAGGGACTTTGCTTGCAAATCTAACATTACTATATATTCGCCCGAAAACTCAGCGTACAATCGATGTGGGACTAAACCCACACCTTCCTCAGAAGAGGCGGGGGCGACCGGCGCGGGTTCGAATCCTCCCAGAGTCAAAATTCATATATTTTTATCTGATTATCGCGACTTTCCTGCAGATCGCCGGTGAAGGATTAAGCAACGAGAATCGCTGGATCATCGGCGAAAATCTCATCAACGCGATTCGCGGAGCATTGCTACTAAAATTGCTGAATGATTTGCGATAAAAGGATCGCAAATCCATCGAGTAAATCATCTCCGATTGATCGACAAACAAGCCGTCGTCGGGAAGAGGACGATCCGCCGGGAGACCAGTCGCCACCTCCTGAGAGCGTACCAGATGCGATGAAGAGCCTCCTCTTGCTGCGCGGACCTGAGGATGAAGCTCCCTGACACGCGCCCCACCTCCATCCAGCTCCTCTCCGTCGGGTGACAGCCGCCGGAGAGCCGCAAAGTCGCCGTTTTTCCGCTCCGCCGGGTGACAGCTGCCGGAGACGATTCGATGACCCACTTCATTGATCTCTAGACTTCGCGAGAAGATCTAGAGATTGCCCACGTCGTCTTTGTCCAAGGAGAGCCTTCGAGGCCGTGGACACTGCACGACGATCCTCCCGAACGCTCAGGATTCCGGTGCATCGCCGACGCATCGCCGTCACGACGCCGGAACTTTGTTTTCCTGCTTTCAATTTAATTTACGCTTTATTTAGTGATACTTTGTGTGATTTTTAATTTACCAAACTATACTTCGTTAAATTACGATTCTTCCGGCTTTTACAGATCTTAATTTGATTAATTAAGTCGTCTGTAATCGCTTACGTAAGAATCGCCAGGCGGAACTCTATTTCTGCCTGATTCGCGTTCGCCTGATGCTGACGTCATCTTGACGCCCGCACCCTTATTTCCTTTTTTTCGTGAATTTTAAATATATTTCCTTTTTATTTCCTGGTATAAAATTCGTAAGAAAATCGTATTCATTGAGAAAAATTCTGAATAATTACCAGATATTATATTACATCCCTGTGATCGACCTGGAAAATTACTGCTATTTTTGAAATTTTTATTGAATTATAATTGATATATTTATTTAGAAATACTTCTAAATATCCGAAAATTCGTATTTTCTAGTTTTATAAGATTTATATTTGCGTGATTTAATATACAACGACTGAGTCACGTCAGTAAGTGGAGCTTTGTGTTTCAAAATCATGTCCTAAATGTTTTTGGGGAGAGGTTATTTTAATGTCACTCATTTGATAAATCATTTACCATCTGACGTGACTCAGTCGTTGTATGTTAAATCACGCAAATTTAAAATTTATAAAACTAGAAAATACGAATTTTCGGATATTTAGAAGTATTTCAAAATAAATATATCAATTATAATTCAATAAAAATCTCAAAAATAGTGGTAATTTTCCAGGTCGATCACAGGTATGTAATATAATATCTGGTAATTATTCAGAATTTTTCTCAATGAGTACGATTTTCTTACGAATTTTATACTAGGAAATAAAAAGGAAATATATTTAAAATTCACGAAAAAAAGGAAATAAGGGTGCGGACGTCAGGATGACGTCAGCGCCCGGCGAACGCGAATCAGGCGGAAACAGAGTTCCGCCCTGGCGATTCTTACGTAGGCGATTACAGACGACTCAATTAATCAAATTAAGATCTGTAAAAGCCGGAAGAATCGTAATTGAACGAAGTATAGTTTGGTAAATTAAAATCAACAAAGTATCACTAAATGAAGCGTAAATTAAATTGAAAGCAGGAAAACAGAGTTCCGGCGTCGCGACGGCGATGCGTCGGCGATGCACCGGAATCCTGAGCGTTCGGGAGGATCGTCGTGCAGTGTCCACGGCCTCGAAGGCTCTCCTTGGACAAAGACGACGTGGGCAATCTCTAGATAAAGCAGGAAAACAGAGTTCCGGCGTCGCGACGGCGACGCGTCGGCGATGCACCGGAATCCTGAGCGTTCGGGAGGGTCGTCGTGCAGTGTCCACGGCCTCGAAGGCTCTCCTTGGACAAAGACGACGTGGGCAATCTCTAGATCTTCTCGCGAAGTCTAGAGACCAATGAAGTGGGTCGTCGAATCGTCTCCGGCGGCTGTCACCCGGCGGAGCG